CCACCCAATGTCACACCGACGCAACGAGCTGCGACAACGCCGCAACCACCACCACCATCACCACCTCAACTCTACGGCATGCCTTCCGCGCTCCCCAATTACGTATCGTCCCTTTTATTCACTCCGTGTGCGTCGAACAAAAAAAATTTTATATTTAGCTTGCTGTGCGCGTACACACAATTGGCTCAACTATTTCATCTTGTTAGACCGCAACCGCCCCCGCAATGACGGATACAAGGGATACGCACACCTTGGAGTGCGACGAGTGCTCAAGGACGAGCCTAACACTAAACATCCGAGCGGAAAACTAATTTTGCGCCTCTCCAAACTTTGATCATTTGGAATTTTGTGCAAATATTAAAGCAACCCTTATTACGAACATCACCTCCACAGATATACCTCTATATGCAATAGGAATCTCGTCAATGTTTGGCCGAAACTCCGGCTGAACGCCAATAAATAAACAAATAAGCAAATATTGAAATGTCTACTCATCAAACTAAATATAAAGTCAATTAACGTACATTCGGATGTATTATACCGAGTGTTCAGTGATGTGGTGCTCACACATGTGATGAGCGCATGATAAAATAACGAACTGAAAAATTACTCGTCCCTACAACAAGCGAGAACGTTATGAAATGATATCCTGGGGCTTCGCGAGTCTCAGGAAATTGCATTGAATAAATCTAGCACTCCGCCGCCGCCGCACGTCGTACACGCGCAAGAAGCAAAGAGCGGCTGTGGCGTTGAACGTTGCACAACGAAAGGAAGTAGGCGAAGCGAAAAAAAAAAGCAAGCAAAAAAAACCGAAGCGAAAACGAAGATGAAAATATGTAAATTCTTTTCAATACATAGTAACCGGCCCGTGCTCGCGCTTGCGAAAGCTCGCTTTGGCGCGCTTCAGAGTCGCAGAAAAGATTTTACAAGCCCCGAGAACGCTCGCCCAGCAACGCGAACACGGGAAGAAGAAAGATTACTCTCTGTTGCCGTATTTCATTAAAATATTTTATTGTCTTTCTTCGGTTCTTTATGGTTCTGTCGGTTTCCGACCGAGCGTAACCGAAAATAACCTAAAAAGAGATAGCGAATTAAAGAATCTCAACCGCCCCCTTGGTGAAAACTCAAAAGTGGTGTATTGTGGGTGAAGGAGTGTGCGTTATGAGCATAAGTTGGGATAAACTTTGACCGAGTGCGAATTTCAATCAAGTTGGCACTAGAACAACAACGAAGCTCTGCGCTACTCACACGCTTCCCGTACAAAATGGCGATGTTTGTCGCACTCACACCGGCGGAGATGTTCAATGCCTGGATCATGAATAAAATAATAGATTGTTGAGTTTCGTCGGGCGGCCACACGACCGTTTTGCATGACTATAGTCATCCAGTTGCTGCTAGTTTAGAGCGGAATCATATGCATAACGTTCGTGTATGTGTAGTGTGTGTGTTGTGTATCACATCCAGACGATGAATTCGCATGCGCGCGGAATAGGCAACCCAGAATGCGAGCGGAGCGCGCGTGTATTTATCTAGTCTGGAGAAACGAAGCTTATTGCGCCTAGTTATGTATTCAGAGCGGCAGATTGAAACGCGATCCCAGGAGACGCCAGCGCAGCTATAACGTCTAAAATCAAGAACTATCGTCCCGGATGAAAATGGAAATTTTCCAAGTTATGTAAAAAGAATGTGTGTTCCCGCCGTTGATAGATGGCGCAGCATAAAATAGGCGAAACAGGTTATGCAACCAGTTTTTAACAGGTTTATAATTGGCGCGGCTGCTTAAAATTCAAGCCATTATTCTCCGCGCCGAGCGGCGTGCATTTGAAAGCGAATTAACAGCCCGTAGAAACGAATCGCAAACGAGTGCAGCAGCACACACAATTCTTTTAACTACAGGGCGCGTCTCTCTGTCGCCATTAGAGGCAGGCCCCGGCGCTCTCCAGACAATTAATTAACCGAATGGGCCCGGGCTTTAATTGCTAATGATAAATGTTGATGAATTAAATAAAAGGATTATCGCCGAACGGCGCGCGTCTGGCCGCGCTCTTAATTTAGACAAATGGAGGATAATGTGTTTCAGTTTGTTGCGGCCGACCGCAGGTTGACGGTGGCGCGGCTGTGGCTGCGGCGACAACAAATCGCGCGCGTACTACCCTTCCGCCGGGGCAAATATTGAATCTGGAGCCCATCCACTTAGGAGTGTTTAAACCCACCGCCGCGCGCTCCTAGGATATTGATGTGTGAGGCGGGCGTGTTGTGGCCGCCGAACACAAATCCTCCGCCCCATGATGCATCCATCCAAAGGATTTCTCTGTCGACAATTAGCGTAGGCGTCGCGTACTAATCCGTTAATGTCTGGCTGGTGCAGGAGGATGGATGATCCCGTGTTAAATATGAGTTATTATTAATGCAAAGCGGATTAGTTGTGATGCTGCGAGTGGCGCAGGGTCTGAGGAAGCTTCACGCGTGTGCAGCTGGTGTGTGAGACCGACGAAAGGCTCGAGGAGTTTACTTGTCATCCGGGGATCTTGTGAGTTTAGTGTTGAGGACGATCTGGTTTTAAGATATTGACGTCAAACGCGCGTAATAACTTACGCCTTGCGTCTTACAAATTTCACCGCATATTCTCACAGGGGCTTTGGAATTTCACAGCGAGGTATATTTACTAAATCAAAAGTCCCAGTATTTACTTCCAGATAATTTAGTGTTTTCTGTCTAAAATTTAATTTTTCCAAAATTTTGGGAATCGTTTTGAGGTATTTTCGGAAATATTAAAAAAATTTAATGCACATCTTAAAGAAGGATCTTTAAACTTTTTAAAGCCATTTAAATAATAAAAATTACTTGATCCATTTATAAAATACAGTGTGTTTAAGATTTTTTAAATTTTTATTGCAAAAAAATTTGGAAATCAATTTAAGGGTAGTTCTGGTACAATTTAAAAAAAATGGGTTAAACATATCTGAAAGAGGGACCTTTAAACTATCTAAGACAATTTGAATCATAAATATTACTCTATCCATTTATGTAATACAGAGTGTTTGCTAAAAAAAAGGTTCGAGTTTCGTAAAATACATAAACTTACTTGACATGTTTACGTAATTCAAATGTATTCCCTTAGATTATTATGATTATTATGAGGGAATGAGATTACGTCGATAGTAATCAGTGGCAAACAAAATTAAATCAGGCTTGTTTCGCCGACTTTGGTACATCCGAAATCAGAGCACACAACGAACTTGGCTGCTCCAATAACACCTACCTACGCAAGTTTAGAGCCTTGGGGTAGTTCCATCAGTGTGCGGATACACACGTACGTGTGTGTTGCATATTGTGTATTAATTAATGTGGAGCCTAACGCGATCACGTCTAACGTACTGATTATGTATTAATATCGGGCGGCAGTTGCGCCCGCCGGCAGTGCGGTAACTACAACGAACTTCCATACCGGTACAATGCTAGAACTAATAGTTGTTTTGACATACAGTGTTCGTTTAATGAAGGAGGCACTACTCAGGCGTGCGTGTCTAATTCCCAACAGGGGCGCGCGACATTTATTCGGCTCGTTAAAGGACGCGAAATTCTGATACATGCAAATGTCATGTGTTTTCACCCCGCGCCCAACTCGTATGGAACTGAACGCGATTACAATACTAGCAACATCACAACATACCCCCACCACTGGTATTCGTATATGTTCGAACTCGATTTACACTGCAGTAAATTACGCAAATGAAAATTGTATTCGCGCGTGAAATACTCGAAATAATCTAATGAGTGTTCCGTGTTGCAGGATGTTAATGGTGATAATTAAGAGAAGGGTCTGTTATCTGCCCGCATAAGTATGTGTGGGTGAATGCGATGATAGTGTTTCGGGTGGGAAAGTTGTTGGTGCAAATGCATTTTGCCACTTTGCACTCATCACTATTGTGTGAGCGGACATAATGGTTGAGTAATTTGGGGGAAAGTTTTTGTCCAAGCGCCAATTATTGCAAGGAGCACTTAGATTTCCTCCAAAAGGGTGTTTTACGTTTTTGTGCACGAGTTTAGCGCAACCGACGGTAGACGAGAATATAATGTCAACCATGTTGACGTGAAGCAAACGGTGCAGCAAAGGCGAGGCGGCGAACTTTTCGTTTAGCCAGCGTAAAGGCGGCCGCCTCCGTTGGCGGCGTTTTATATGGAAATGTTGTCATGATATGCTTCGTTAAAGTCATAAAATAGCGCCGCGACGCGCTGCACCGGCAGGGACGGACTGCATTAAAAGGGTAAAAGAATAATGCGGTTTGCATGCTAAAAGAGATTAATTAACCTTTTTAACGCTGGCGAAAATAGCTTCCACTTGTATTATGCATATAGATGAAGAAGGCGGCGGCGGCTGCGGAGGCGGTCCAAGAAACTTGCGCGCTCAGTTAGTTTTTTGTATGCAGACTGCCTTAATGAGGACATTAACGCTTGCATTATCTATTCCTCGTTGGCAGCAAAATATGTTAATGTAACGCAACCGCTGCGACGATGCAAAAATTCGCTCGGAACGCGCGCGAAAAGTATGAAATCGTCGTCATTGTGCAACGATTGCGCGTGGAAGCGCGACGCGCTTCTTGTGAAAGAATGGTGTAAATCAACACCGCTGCCCGATGGAGCGGAGAAACGGCGCACGCGGTTGGTTCGCTTGCAATTAGAGAAAGCATGCGGACGCGGTCGGCGTGTTTGTTATTACATAAAAATGAAATCGCTCGATTTTCTGCTCTGCCGAAACCCGAACTCGGCCGGCGAGGAAGAAAAAGCCGACTGCCGATTGCGAACAATGCGACATATTGCTGCACCGAGCGGAGAGCAGAGAAGAAAAAAAAAACTCTAACTTGAACTAATCTCGCGGAAACCCCAAAAACTACTCTCTGCTGGGAGGATTGGCGTAGAATGAAGAAAGTCGTCGGCGGGTATAAATACGCTCCGGTGGCAGAAGGAAGGCAATCAGTTCGCTACCTTCGATAGGTCGGCGTCCATTGCACGGCATCCGCACCAGCATGAGATTGATTGTATTGTGCGTCGGCCTTTGCCTGGCCGTCGCATTGTGCACGGCCCGGGTGTATCGCGAAGAGGAGCTCGAGTTACAGCAAACCAACGGCGACCTTGCAGTGGCCGAGTCTAAGCATGGCCATGAAGAAGGTGGTGGTCATTCGGGACACTCCGATCATCATTCCAGTCACGGCCACAAAGGTGACAAAGGATACAAATCATCCCATCATCACGACAAGGGTGGGCATGGCAAGCACGGCAAGAAACACGAAGTGGGCCATCATGAGGAAAAAGGAGGGCACAAAAAGAGTCATCACGATGAAGCGGGTCACTATGGCGAACATCACGAACATGGCAAGTCCCACAAAGGTGGTAAACATGGCGAGAAAAAGGGTCATAAAAAGGGTCAAAAGACCACTGGTTACCACCATAAGTCCCATAAGGATGACTACCATAAGGAGCACAAGTTCTACGATGACTACCACAAGGGTGGACACCACTCCAAACACGGCGAATTCCACGGTCATCATGGTTCCAAGGAAGGTAAGCACAAGAAGGGAGGCAGTCACAAGAGTGGCTACCATGACGACCACTTCGGTAAGAAGGGCCACTATGACAAGGGCCACTACGATGAAGACCACAAGGGTCACAAGGGGCATAAGGGCCATGAGAGCCATCACTCCCATCACGACGATTACGGCAAGAAGGGAGGTCATTCCGGCGGCAAGGAATACGGCTTCAAGCACGGAAAGCACTAACCATCATCTTCATCTCATTCCAAACACAGGCGCTCCATCCGTTGAAACATCTAGTTGTTGTTGTTGTTGTTACTTGTTACGACATTGTTTGCAGTTATTGTTATTCACGCAGGAGAGGCAGAGGGGACACAGGCAGAAGCGATAATAAAAATGAGTAAAATTAGCATAAACTGTACGCAATAACCCTTACGAGTGTCCCATTACCCGCGGAGATGCGTTGGCCCGAGGTGGCACGTGTGGGTGCTTAATTGAAAACGACGGGCGCATCTTGTGAAAACTGTAAAAGCTTGAATATTCCATTTTTTGCGATAAAAATTCCACCCGCGCCGTTCCTCATTTGCATAATAAGAGAGAACCCGCTAATGTTTTATCCTCGGGGCTCACGCGACGAAGAGATAACACGCGACAAGCGCGCAAGCAAGATAGCGGAATTAATTTGAAATGTTTATTTTAAGGTGAACTACTAGCGCGCGCTGTGTGTGTTGCCTAGATAGCGTCGGATTGCTGCTACTCGCGCGCGCGTTAAATCTACTCGCTAGAGGACGCAAACAAGCACACGGCTTTTATTTGCATTCGCCAACGACCATCGTGATCATATCCGTCGACGAGGCGCGCACGGCGAAAAAAGACGTCGCGGATGATTGTGGCGGTTGGGTGCAGCATGTTTATGCGCTGCGAATTGCCGTTTTTATAGTCGGCGCGCGGATTTCGTTACTTCATAAAAAAGGCCGCGCGCAGAAAAAGCAAAAGCGACGGCTATTACCACCACTAGGGTGCGAATGTGTTTTTATGGCGCGAAGAAAATAAAATCGACGACGATGGAAATAATGATGTCATCGTTTGGACGTAACATTCGGTAAAATAGGTGAGCGCTCTGCTGTGCTTTGCCGCAATACCAGGTGTTAATGACCCGCATCGTAATGGATCTCAACGCGAATGATCTTTTGGGAGTTTTAATTGCATTTCAACTTGACGCGTTGTTCCTTCGAAAGTGTACAAGTCAAGAGGTAACATTTGGGCCACTCGGGGCACGGCAGACCTCGAGGAGTCGCCAATAATTAAAAGCAAGTGACATTGCATGTTTGCTGTTTATTACGGGCCAACTTCGAGGGCGTGCCAGGAACTTTTTCAGTTTTCAATTATGTACGGTGCCAGCAAACTTACTTGGCAAACTTGTATAACTTTGTGCAGGAACGTGGCTCGTTTTCTTTCGTTTTCAATTGTTTCGAGCATTTACAAATCACGTCATACAAGCCATGAATAAATATTAGCAATTCTACTTTTGACACGCACTTATACTTTTTCATCTAATGTCATGTTATTTTGCTACAATTTTTGATAATTGCAGACCTGCTTTAGGCAATTTTACGGGAGTTTATTTTAAAATGTCAATTGTTTGCAAAATTAGAATTCTTCATTTTTGTAGCTAATTTTTGGGCTATTTTCGTAAGGTTTTTAAACATTAATAAGACTTCTTAGGAAAAGGGTCTATTGGACTACCCAAGGGCATTTAAATCATTAAGATCCTTCGGGAATTACAAGACTTTTTCGAAGAATGAAAATTTTTAGTAAGAAACAGAAAATTCTAAATTTTTTAACTCGTCTTAATAATTTAGGCAGTAAATATTTAAAAATATATCCACATATAATTTCTTCACCCCTTGGAATGTCCTGAAATTCCATTCAAGTGCAAGTTTCGAATAGTAGTTGCAGCAAAACTAAAGTTGATAATTAATTGTTTGACTGTTTGAATTCGAGGAAAACTTGCCGGCGGCTGTTCGCCTGCTAAGGCTGCCTTAACTAAGACGGTTTCAATTGTTCCAACACGCGCACTAAACTTGCCCGAAGCCAACACCCCCGCAGGACTAAGTAATAGACCTTCTCTGGTCTTTCAAAAGTCGAGAGTCGACTAAAGCGGGGGCGACAAACTCGCCGCGGCCACGCAACTACAAGTGTTAGTTAATTTGAAGCCATTGATACCGCTTCGGCTGTTTATCAGAGATCCGCAGTCACGATTGTCGCGAACGCCAGCCCCAACTCGTTTTCCGCCACAGACAGAGAATTTGAGGAGCGTCTCTAGGAGACTTAACAGCAGCGGCAGCGGCGTGTCATGTTTTCTATCGTGACTCGCTGCCAACTAATTAAGCCATCCCAACTTGTGCGCCGCATTAAAATCACGTTAATGTTATTTTCATCCGGTTCGAATGTTGTCTCAGCGACGCTGCCGTCGTCGACGTCGACATGATGTCCCTCTTTCTATACCCGAGTAATCAAACGAGTTGGATGTTGATTTCGATATTGAGATCGCGCAATAATCCAACGCAAATCTTTATTTACGTTCAATTTATCTTTAATTTAAATTTAACGCAATCCAAGTTTAGAAAATGTTTACTTTTAGCAGTGTGCACAGTAAATTTCTCCGCTCGCGCGCAACTCGTATCTTCCTCTTGCATCAAAACTTCTTTAATACGCAAATTCATTTTCTAAAGTCACCATTTTAATTAAAATTCTCGGGAATTAATTCTTATAAATTCTTAATTCCGCAACGTTTAGGAGTTTGTTTAAACTGCTGTCATTAAGTTTTTTTTTCTTGGCTTTTTACTCGGTGACGAATTCGACATGAAAATAAGGGCGAGTAATAAAAGAGTCGTAAAGCGGGTCTAATTTTACAGTTTTTTCCCTTCCTCGGAGGGGTGAATTTTGTCGCCTTATCCGCCTCGCGGGTGTCGTAAATTTCCGTACATAATTTTCGACACGTTCCGCAATATGCGAGTGTGTTTACAATACAAGCCACATGTTTTCAAACTCCCTATGCTTGGGTGTGTGATAAAGACGTTCGAATATCGATAGGAAATAAAAATGTAAAGAAATCGATTTGTACGCGACAAACGTATGCAGGTTCTTCTTTTTCGCATCAGCAGCGAAAGAATATTGACGATATCTTAAATACGTAATTATCATATTTTTGTTTGTGCCAAGCGCTTTCCAAACTCCACTGTATTTACGGCAAACAACAATTTCATGGAAAACATGGGCAAACAAGCAGAAATATATCAAACAACACTTTGGGCTGGCGTGGCTCCTGGCTCGCACTATGCCCACGCCAGCAGTCGACCAATATGTGTATGTGCGAGCGCAGCGCGCAGAGGGTACGAAAATAGAATTCGAAAAGTGGCTTTCGCCATAAATTTCATTTACCCCGGGACGACCCCCTGCGCACAAAAAGCGCCCACACGCATCAACCCCCCAATAACCCAAAAAGTTGGCTGTGTGTGAGCGTGCGCTGTGTGTTTATACATCGAAAGCAATTAAGTAAACAAACGCACGAGGACGCAGGTTAGTTTTGTATTTCTAACCTATGGGATGACACAAACTCAGTAGATATATGTTTTCGTAAAAGTTAAATATTTATCCGGCTGGTCCCGAGTGTTGACATAGTTACGTGTGGACCATGTCAATTTTAATTACGCGCCGATGTCCTAATGGCATTTTAATTACACATCGTTTTCCAAGGTGTGTGCGCGCACGTGAGAGCTACGTGCGCGCGTGCGTCTGTAATTTGTAATTCGCGGGTGCGGGGGCGGTTGATCGAGCGAGTGTGTTTATGTGTGTTAATGCGCGCGGGTGAATATTTTATACCTAGGATAGAGAAAAGAGGGACGTTATCGTCGTGCTACCGGACGGATGTTTTTCTCAAAGTTTAATGGCGTTTGTTGTTAATGTTGCAAAACGTGTCCTATCGGCCGATAAAAATGCCTAGCCTCCATCGACTTTCGGCTGTAAACGGTCAATTTTATCGATGGTTAAGTGTCAGTAAAACAACGCGGAAATATTTACACATTTATAAAGCTAACGTTCTTAAAAATTAACTTGGCGCAAACTCGTACTTATTTTTATTAGGCATTGTTTATGGTACGTGTGTAAAATGGCAGTTTTACACACGCTGCCTGCATCATGTGGCTAGGTAGGTCAGCGTATATTATATAATAAGTGCACTTAATATTTATGCGGCGCAAATTTCTGCATTTAGACCTCCGAGACACAGCGCATCTAGATTAAGTGCGTTTCGGTGGAGACAAACACGTACGCCGACCGCAATTCCATTCAGCCATACTAATTTGCTTATTGTTGCGGTATGTTCGTAATAATTTACGCAAGCACATGCACCGTTGGCGCGCGCGCGTGCAAACACGTCCCGACCGCAAGAACTTCGACAAACCGTGTTGGCAATGCCTAAACTCAACGCGGCAAGAATTGAAACATTTTAACTTAAATGTGTAAAATACAGTGCGCAAAACGCAGCTTTTAGGTACACATGGTGGGAGAAGTGCAAGGTAAATATAGGCAACCAATTTAACATGCACAAGTTGGATATTTGCCTACACAAACTTTAAACAATATTTTATTTTTACACATTGATATTTCAATTAGTTTTATTAGTAAGAATAAGTTATTATTTGAAAAGTTTAGTTCTTAAATGTAAAAGTAGAACAAAGTCCACAATTCGATAGTAATCTACGAAAGTGACAAAACTCACATCATTGAACGAAAGCTCCGATATATTCAAACGACTGTACTGCAGAGAAAAGTTTCGAATTTTTGAAATTTAAATAAATTCATCCAGATAAATCCAATGCGCGCGAGCTAATTTTATTTATTCTACTTGTTCGATCGTGCGATTGCGGCACGGTGGCTCGTTTTCCGCACCGCGGAAAAGAACAAATACGGCGAGGTCGACGCCGCCGCTGCCGCCACCGATGCCGTGCCGCACTCTCCTTCGTTTGCCGCGCGTTATCCGATATATACGCGTGTACGTATCTGATTCGGCATATCTGATTTGTATTATGAAAGCTGGCGATTTGGCGCAAATCGAAAAACGGCGCTTTCCTGCCGCGTTTAATTCGGTGCCAGTGGAAATTATGCCAAACTTTCTTCATTTGCTCAACTCGTTTGAGCACTGAGCATAATATCATGTCGATATTCGAAACGAAGAGCACGCGCTCCGGAGATGTGCTTTCTGATTGTGCGCGCGCGACTTTTAATTATCGCGCGGATCCAATTTCGTGTCATTAACACAGAGCCACGCATTGACCTAGTAATCAACTCGTACGGAAATTATCCGCTAGGAATAAAATACATTATTTTTTTCTATAATTTTTTGTATATAAAAATATTTTTTGCTCTACGCGCCGCGAAAAATTGATAATTCTCTTTCGGTTAACAAAAAATAATAACCGCATTGTTGTTCATGTTTTTAATCCGGCTTAAAGCAGATTTACAAAGTTTTATAATAAATGAAATATTTGTTTCCAATATCGCGACATATTGAAATAAAAATTTAGTAAAGTAAAAGACCTTGTTATGTAACATGTAATATTACATTATGACACACTCACGAATAACATTCAATATTCAGCAAGAGGGGTAATATTTTAATGCTCGACTTTTTCGTTTTATTGTTGTTCGTTTACGAGCACTCCGCGCCATTAGTCGAACGTCGGTAATTAAAATACTTGCGCGCTCGCTGCATTCCCTCGCAACACCCTGCACCCCGTGGTAATAATGCGTGTGACATATGTTTGTATTCGCCGCGACTCGAAAATGTATCACTCATTAATTATTTATTTATTTATTACTCATTACGAACACTTGTATACACGTGTTCACTCTGTGAACTAGAATTAATTATATTTAAACAATTAATCACTTATTGTGTCGAAGAAGAGAAACAAAACAAAGAAAAACGCTTTGTTATGAGCAATTACATACTTATCAACAATAAAATAACATGTGGAGTACTTATTTACTAGTTTATTGTTTATTAAACTTATAAAATTACCATTTCCGCACTAATGCAAAAAGTGGTAACTTTAAACTGTTCACTGACATTATTTTATTTTACTGACTCATAACAGAAGATATATTATGTTATTGTATAAAAGTAAATATTATTATAAATGATAGCCGTAGGTCGAATAAAGTGGAGATTAAACAAATAAATTCATATAACGACCGTCGTTTAAATGCATCGCTGCATATTAACATGCGCTTTTTTCATACGAAACATGAGGCCATTGCTTTCTTTCGCCGTATTGTTGTTATTGCTAATGTGCACACACATTATGTCCTTGGCGTGCAGCTAACAACACAAATTTACTTGATGAGGAGCATCGTTTTTCACTATAACTGCTGCATTTAAATATATGCACACGACGCGGTCGCATGAAAATAAGTTACTGCGCACTCATTAATTACAATAATCGCTAAATGATCACATTTATATGCAGATTATTGTTGCATTCGATATTATTCATCATTTACGATCAGTTTGTGCAGGGAGTTATTACGCGCGCATTTTTGCGCGTCTCGCGAGCGCAAAGAGAAACTTTACGAGCACGCGCGCGTTACGAGTATAATTTTCAATCTTCGGCAAAGTTGCCTGTGGAAACTTATCACTTACAATTTCGACTATTATGCAAAACGGGCGAGCGGTCTGAGGTATGGGTGGAAAGTACGCATCGAGCGGGCGCGCAACTGTTCGGAAAATTGAAATTATGTATTCATGTCTCAGAGATATTGAAATTTCGGAACGAGATTAGGATGAGCGAAGCAACAACCGACAAGCGGGCCCCGCCGGGCAGAATCAATTTATGAGGAATTAAACACAACAAACAAACAAACAGGGCATAGAAAATTACAAAAAAAAATCCGAGACGAAAAAAATATTGATTGATTTTGAATTATTCACACAAATAATACGCTATATTATAGATTACAATGCAGCGCCATCTATTTTTGTCCATTTCATTCCATTATCGAATCAACCAATTTCTTAGTTATTATTTAATGTCAGAAACTGAATACCTGGTAATGACGAATGTATACAAATGTATTCAAATGTATTTACAATATAATTGCGCGCATTCGAAGTGGATAAAAACATAATGACAATACATCTAATTCGAAAATCGATACAAGCCGCCTCCGGTCACATGAGTAATGAAGACACATGAAGTGCGTCCTCGTCGTGACCGTCCGTCCAACTGAGCATTGTGCGCATATTATCAGACAAAGTAGTGAGTGGCTCCGGTATCGGACGCCGCAATTATTTTAAATAAATGTCACCCGCGGGATGGCATTTTCACAACGGCTAATAAAGATATGCGCGGCGGCGCAGGTTGTGTCCGAAGGGGTGTCATCATCCCTTACGCTTCGCGGTCGGACATCGTTAGTCATGCTCAACTAAAGACATTTAATAAACACAATTTTAATAATCATAAATTAGCATATAGTGCTTACCTTGTAGGAGTAAATTGCACACGCAAATGAAAAGGTGGAAATCCGTCAAGCGTTTGGGCGTCCGCATCGTGTCCACCGGCGACGTGCAACAAAAGTTCGCTTGTCCTTGTGCTTGGTGATGTGTGCGCTCGCAATTAATCCTTTCGCGCGCGCCACCGTCGCGATCGTAGTAATCGCCGTCGGTCGCAAAGCAAACACACGGCGCTCACATTAAATTATTCACTGACGGATCCGCCGAGCGGCGGCTGAGTGGCTGCGATTTCGCTCGGGCGCGCATCACCGACCTGTTATTGGAGCCGCTGCGACGCCAAAAATTAATTGCGGCCGGGCGGCGTTCACCAAGCTCGCACAAAAACAACAAGCCAAAGTTCGTCACCGCTAATCATTCGAGCGTATCGCGCCACACTCTTGTTTATGTTTAATCTCTGACACTCCGACTTTGATGCACTACTCAATTATTTGACATCAATCGTATTAAAACACTTGAAAACTTTCAGAAAAGTTTTCGGAAACTTTTTTATATTTTTATTTTATTTGTATTGAATTATATGTTGAGTTGTTTTGATGATGCACCGAATTAATTTTTAATTAACCAATGAAATTACGTGCGTGGGCGCTCGCGTCACTGAAAGTGCGTCTGCGGGGGCAAGGGCGACTGGTTGGGGCTTCGAGTTGGGCGCCGCGACGGTTCGTAGCCGACTGACGGCGTCGCGCCGCGCGGACTCCCTCTTCGCGGCACTTGGCGCCGATCGACAGCTGCCGGAGTAGGTCGACGGTTCCCGGACGCTTGCCGCCCGCCCGCCCGCCCGCCTGCACCCTAGCCGCATGCCCTGCAATTAATATATTATGATTAAGTATTTAATTACACCCCCCTTAATGCGTTTTAATAAGTTCACTGACTCATCGTCTGTCTATCGTGGTGCGAATAAAAAATATCGCGGGGTGCTGTGCGGAAACAGCGGAATGCAGCTGCTTTTTGCGCCGCCGCAGCGCCGGCGGATTCTATTAAAAAGGAATTTTAATTAAGTAAAGTAAACTTGACTTTGTCAGCTAGGCGAAAACCGATGCGAATATTTTTACGCACACTTTAGATTTCATTTTACTAATTTAAATTATTAAAAATCATAAGCATTATTCACCGTTGTACTAATAATCATAATAAATTAATGCGCCCATCATAATTCATAAATGTAAATGCTTCGACATTTACGACGTAATGATTTGCAATCATTTCATGAAAATTATTCATTAATCAATGGTGAATTACGCGTTTACATGAATTAAAAAACATTTTGACTAATTTTTAAAATTTCGTTATTTACAGGTTAAAGCAGAGATTGGGCGACATCTATTATAAGGTAGGCAACACAATTTTCTATCAATTTAACATAGGCAACCAATAACACACAGAATTAGTTTTGAATCCGCTGGAGGGCTCAAAATATAATTTCTTTTCAAAGCAAAAATAAAATTAAAAACAGCAAGCCGATTTTTATGTGATTATACGATCATCAATTTTACGTCGCCGCTTCTTTTCACAATATTTGTTTTTACCCTCACTTGCCCCCTAGGGTTTGTAAAAGTCGCACCCGCTCTCATAAACACGGCCGAACACAATCATTACGTATATACGACGCGAATAAAATCCAGCGCGCCGACCGAGTATAAAAATAAAACAAATACGCAGCGAGCGCAATACATTTATATTTATTTGATAACGCGCGCTGCCAATATATTTTATGATAAAGTGTAACATCGGCCCTCAAGGCCTCACGGATGAAACCAACATCGACGTCGTAACCGCCCCGGGGTTGTCCAGACATCAGGGCAAACACGCAACTGTCGAGTCTATCACTTTTTACATTTGTTTGTTCATTGTTCGATTTACTTTACTTTTACTTGATATTTACTTTGATTGTTTATTAAATAAATAACGATTGCAGTTATATTTAATACGAGCGGAGAAAGAAAAATTAGTTGGTTTAAAAATTAAGTGAACCACATACACTCGCAGAGAAGATTATATCCTAAACTATAACGCTCCAGTTATTTCGTAAGGAGCGGCTGTGGGTTGAAATATAAGGAAAAAAGCACACGCGTGGTGCGCAGCGGCGCGTTTGGTGATTGATGGAATAATCTGGTGTAACGTTAAGAAAGTTTAGGGATATTGCCAGATAAGGGTTTGCGAGTAAATAAATTTGCTTAGAAAGTTTAATAAATTCAGACGTTATAAATATGTATCTCTGGCGGTGCCCGCGACCGGCTGGTTATTCGAGCGAGGCGTCGGGGGTAGTTATTGAGGCGAGAGGGATAAGCGCCGCGTAAGTTCTTCGTGCGAGCGTGGATTATTTGTTAGCCAAGGATATCCGCGAGTGTGTGTGTGTGTGTGTGTTCATCCGCCGCCCGCACCGCCACGCCGTCGATCGCAACCGTAGGTCGAATGTGAGCGATTGACTCTTTAAGAGATTGCTTTTTCCAACGTCGAAAGCATTATTCGGTACTTCATAAGCGCTGACGCTGCCTTCTTGTACTTATGCGGTGGTGGTGCGCCGGCACCGGCATCACCCTTCGCACTTGGGCAACTCGCCTTTCTCCAACAGTCTCACAACCCGTTTGTGGAAGTGGCCACGTATTATCGTAATGTCTTTGAATCGTCGTCGGCTCTATTAATAGAGACTTTCTTTTGATTTTTTGTATCATTTAAGTGTAAAAACTTGAATTTTACGCACTAGTGTGAAAAATTATTACTTATAATGTAGAGGTTTTACATTCTGTTTGATTTTTGAATGGAATTAAGCTGAAAATTCGTTTAAAATGTGCATTGTTTGATATTGCGTGCGTAAAATTCTTCCATTGCACATTTAAGTTACTTTTTTAATTAGTATTAGGTAGTTAAAAGTTGAGAGTAGATTCTGAACAGATGGAGCACGTTAGCTTGTCGATACAATGACCATTAAAGTTCGAAATTCAACATTTCTCTTCGCACGACCAATTTAGCTCAGTGGCTCAGTCATTACTGCCTCATTCGACGATTTATGGCTGCTGATAAAAGTTGCTTCTAACGGTTTTATAATCTTTAAAAATACACCCTTTCAATTACGATTACTGAGTACACACTCGACGCCAAATAAAAACTATGTAGGTTTTTTAACGTTAACGTTATAAAAAAATGCTTAAAGTTTTACCGTAAAAATTAAAGTTTTCGCATAGAATTATGCCTGAAACGGTAAATATAATTTTAGTAAGTACTTACACGCTTAATGTGGGATTGTTCATTACTTATCTTACAGTGTATGACTATGTACGTGCATAAAAATGCAGCTGCACTACCCAGCTCAAGTTATTTTATGATGATTGTGATGGCACATAAAAACCAACTACTGTTTATGTGGCATGCCATAACATTGAACTTGAAAATTAATTTAATACAGTTAATACTGGATGATTCAACAGTATGAAAACTAGTCACGCAAGTTGTAAAATAAGTTTTTTCTGTATTCAATCATAAAATAATGCAAAGTTTTGCCGTGAGATGGCATTATTTGTATATAGTCATAGAATTAATTGATAATTTCCATCATTAGGTTATTTTTATCTGCGACTAGATTTTTCTTTGCGACAATACCAATGCAGCAATATTTTTTATCAAAAAGATCAGAAAAACATTTCGCCCAGACGATCAGCAACTAATCATCAACACAAGAGGCCACAGCAAAGACCTCGAAGACACGCGTACAAGAGGGAGGAAGCACGCGTCGATGGTAAAAAGGGTGCGCGCGAGTGAGGTGGCTCGCGATCGAATTACTTTTTATGGTAATCGGATTTCCATTCAAGTGCAGAGGGGACACCGGCTTCCGTCGCGCTCTATCGCACCCAGACCTCTGATGAATTAATTTTCGACTCTAATATCGTTACTCGCCCGAAACACACGCACACATATATACACAGTTATATGTAAATGTAGACATTTGTGCATGCAGAGTTGAGAATAAACACAAACGGAAGCGTCCATCGTCATCGTTCAGGTATACCACTCCGCACCCACACACACATATACAATTTGATTGTGTAGACGTGTTGGATGTTCAATGTTGAATGCGGGTTTCCTATTGCATTAAGCGGTAACCCGAACTCACACACGCCATAACCGCGTATGAATCTACACACGTTTAACCTGCGCGCATAAAGCACGCATAAAGCAGCGAAACGACTGTAAGCTACCTGAACAATAATGTTTTCATTTCCTGCGCACCTTGATTACGCTCGCGCGCGGGGGTGGCGTCGAATAACACGCGTCGAATTAGCGACCTCGCGCGCACCATGAAGCTACCCCTCTAATAGCGGTGCTATTTTGATATTTTATTTCCTCAAGCCGCGCATCAAAGGCAATACAATAAAAAATATAATACGCGAAAGAGAAAAACCGGCAAGGCGGAAAACCGGAAAGATTTAGCGTCGCTTTTTGATGAATGTATTTTCTACGAGCAAAACGAGGAATATAGAGTAATATTTCAAGTGCGTGCATGTTTTACTCCCCCCGGCTGGCGGGCTCGATCGTGTGTTTGCGCGGTTTTATATAATAATAATAAAAAACACGCGGAATCCGTAATGAACGACGCCGAATGCGAACGGCTTCCGCTGGCTCTCTCTCGGCGTGATGGGGGTTGCGCCGCCATAAAAAAGTGTATACACCCGAAGAAAGTTTCGCTAGTGGAGTTAGCACCATCTGTCACCTCACGCCTCATTTCACCGAGAGCTTCTCCGCTTCTTTTTCGCCATCAGCATGCGGCGGCGGCGGACGAATAAAACGCAAGGGATGCCACGCCACCACATCTCCGCGAAGGAAGCGCGTATTTCAAACGTACGCACTTTTCAAACCCCGCGTATATAGGAGCTGTGTGCGCTGGGCTGAACCCCAAAAGAGTATTTGTCTTTATTACAACTTTTGCTCTTTTGCCGGCCCCGGGGGCGGGAAGTCTTTTTGTGCACCACAAAGGCTGATAAAATAATTGCCTGTGGTCTGCGGTGTCGTATTGTCTTTTTATATTAACCGTGTTTACACAACTTTGGAATTACGTTTTAACCTAGGCAACTTTTTTTACTTTGGTAGTTCACAAATTTATCTTGTCGTAAACATCAATGTGACACGACACTATAATTAACAATGTACACGTTGAGACATTGACATTTTACAATGCACAAATTAATAATTTATGTGTGTAGTGTTTTTGACAATTGAATATTTAAAAATGTACACTTATAAAACATTCAGGTTAGTTTTCGCGTTCCACATCGATTTTCCGACCGGTGTCGTGATAGAGTGTGAACAAAAGTCGCGCTAATTGATGACGCCGCTTAACTACATCAAACATGCATGAAGAAAATACCCGTACGTATACACAAGCGCTGTGCGAGCTTAATTATTCCAACTGGTAGAAAAGTTTGGCGTGTGTGCAGACGCGGCGCATAATCGTCGCCGTAGTGCGTGCGCGCCGCAAATAATTTTCGTGCGATGGCGCTTTTGCACTTTGATATGTTGTCTTATGCTCACGTGTGTCGCGGCACGGCACATCGGGCAAAGTTCAAAATTTCCATTTTAATTAAACCACAAAGACCTACCAACTAACGCATGGGAGAAAATACGGCATCCGGAATTTATAATTCGACGTCAACGTCGTGCGAACGCAAGCGCGACTTTGATGTCGTTTGATGCAATCATGAATTTTGACGGTTCGCACCGAAAGCTCAAGTATAGCCTAGGTCTTTACTAACACGATTTTAATCAATACCGAAAAATAAAAAAAAACTAATCATATAATATGTGTTAACGTAATATTGAGTTTTGTTTTGTTTTGAAAGACATGCCTGTCATGTTAAAAATCTCGGTGGATTGACGCTCTTCGGCGGTGTTTCAAATTTAAATCGAAAAATTTCTCATTAACCGAAAAGCGCATCGCATGCACATTTGCAATCCACTGTTTTGCATATTTTTCTACTTGGCGGCGTCGTCAGCCCTCCAGAGGATATCGATTTTTTAATTAAACCGCCCCAAAACGATACGCCGCATTGTTTCCATTCATTGTATTCCGTTCATTATCGTCGACCCCGATGCGCTTTTATGCCGATACGTCGCAATATGAAATTCTGCACGGTGCGCGCAACAAAGTAATCTGCCAACCATCTTCATATTTACACGATTAAAGCAAGCGCGAACAATGGCCGTGTTTTAATAGCGAATACAGATTGAATATAGCTCGAACATGATGCGGTCCAGCTAGTGGCACATTAAAACGTGTTAGAAAAAAAGTGTCATGGCAACAGAGCAGCTATTGTGCAGTGTAGTGTTGTTCTGGTTGCCTAGCACTGCGTTGTCATCCCGGTATGCTACCGCCAAACAGCGGAAATTTAGTGCATCATTACGTAAATAGCCAGCAGCGGGTGGACCGTTCAAGGGTGGAATGTCGTCCGATCGATATTAGTGATAATATCAGGTGCAAGTGTGGATCCACTGCGTTCGCAATTAATTACGACAAAAGGGGATGCTGCAGCGAATGTATAAAAAAAGTTGAAACACGAATGCTGAGATATGCAGATATGGCACGTATGCGAGCAGATCCATGCAGGGAAAATTTACGGCCGATCATATATTTATTCAGTATTTGCAATTTCTACATAATGCACATTGTGAGATGTGCGCAACGCCAGCTGCCGCGCATCAATCATTACATCATCACGGAAAGAAGTGAATAATCCCGAAGTATTTTACAGATTTTGTAATAATAGTATATTTCCACCCATCAGGTTGAGTAGATGTATAAATGTTTTGTTGGTTATGTTAGATGTGTAGCACACGCAAACAAAAAGAAAGTTTCAGGTCGGTCGCAAATAAAATTACGCGTATGCCATAAAACACGTGTGTGTTCCGGTTGTCGGGCTGTTGAGGATGGGCAGCATTCCCGAAAAGTTCCACTATAGCGAATACGCGTCATGCCCTGGCAGGCAGTTTAAGACGGATCTCGTTAAGTCGCCACCTTGCTCGCTGTGCTCGCCCACGCCTCTTCTCTCTGCCAGCGCAGCGCCGAAAAGCGTAGTCAGTCGTAAATACGGATTCCACTAATTAAATTTGCTCCTTAGTAAATCGCACTAAATCTCGACGCCGAAGAAAGTCACGACAACGACGTGGGCTTACGATTTGCAGAGGAGTGCGGTGGCAAAACGAAATGCGGCCCCGAAACGAGCACGTGAATGCGTGAATGGCGCAGCAACTGGAACGAAATAATAATATTCAAACATAGACGCACATGTGTGCGAATGTGTGTGTGTCTGTTTGCGCACGGAGACGGCAGGACTATTCATAGTGGAAGTCGGCCGCGGGGGGTGGAGGCGCGCGCGCTTTTGGTGGAGGCGCCGGAATGGTTTGCGCTGGTATTTCAGAAAAGATTTGTTCCGTGCATGTTACGCGTACATCAGGTCGAGTTTGTCTCGGCGCACCAATCAGACGTGAATGTTTTCGGCGAAATGCGAACAATGTTTGCCGTTTTTCGCAAAATCGCACGCCAGGATTTATTTCGAAACCGATGCGACGCGGAATATATATTTTATTTACATTTTCATATAGGTGGATATCCGCCGAATATTTGACTTGAGCAAGTGAACAAACAAATTTTCTAAATAAACAAATCCTATTTTTAGCGCGGACTAAAAAATAATTTCGTTAAATCTCGTCGGCGTATCTCAGCAGTTTGGCGTTTTTCATTTCTCAATACGTCACGATTAAGTTTCGGCGCGCGCGTGGAATGGGCGCGAGAGAATTTGAACGATTGAACGCGCCGCCGCTCCACTGCATCAGTCAATTTTCGAGGGACGATGGCAATAGTGGATGTGCCGCCGCCCCTCGAACCGCCCGCCCGCCCCAACTGCCTGCCGGAGATGTGTGGTTTTGATATATTAATATGGTGCCGGCGCCGTCACGCCCCGCCGAAACCGGCTCCGACGGCCGGAATAAATCATCAACACCTGCGATTAACTCGGGAATATTGGGATGTCAGTGCCATGAATATTAATAATATAAACCGAAAACTACCCAAGACGTGTGCGTGTATTCACCGGAATCGAGAACTCCGTCAAGTTATCATATTATAGCCTCACTACATTATAATTTTTTATATTTTGACCTTCCAGCAAGAAAAAAAACTTTTATTTTTTGCCGTATGATGGCGCCACTTGGCGGCGTTTTTAATTTGTGTTATTTTTGTGGTTATAATTTGTGTAGTTGCGCGAAATGGTGCAACTTTCAACATAAATCGTCGACACATGTTCACCGGTAGAATACCGTGGTGCGTTTTACACACCTTGAACGCAATCAGGCACACACACGACGTACGTGAACGCAATAGAAATCTCTATCTAGCAGTGCGCGCGCCCGACCGCGGCGCTGATTAAATTTCGTCTTTGTTAGTTAGTTGTTTGTTTGTTGGAAAGTAATAAGGCTAGGTTTTAAGTTCGTCGCCGGCGGTACGTGTGCGCACGATCTACCTGTTCGTCGAAGAAGAACAAGAAGAAGAAGCAGCAGCAGCTAGAGGAGGCTTGTAAGGGCCATGGACGCTAGGATTATTTATGCACTTTGGGGAATAATTACTTACGTAACGCGTCTATATGCCGACTCTATTTGCTGTTTACTTTATCAACGCGCGCGCGTGGTGTGCGGAACTAATCCGTTCGGGAGCGTATCGAGTCCGCAAGACTCTGCGGTGGGACGCTGAGACATTGTTACCGTGCTAATATTTACAATAATTGACGTCGGTATAGTTTATGCCCGGTACCTGGGCCGTGCACGGCGTGTGCCGCCCCCGGGAGATTCCAAGTTCGGCGCGCTGGTCGATCGCCTTTGTCCGGCACAAGGGCCTCTTGCAGTTTGCCTGCCCTCCCGAAGGAAGGTGCACTGCGCCACACCGGCGTGTCGCTAAAGAGCATCAGCACGTGCGCCCGCCGCCGCCTCCGCTCATGCGGAAACGGACGCGTCCTCGGCGCGCACTTTGTGTGTTATCAAGATCGCACCAAATTCCGACCCACTTTGAACAAAGGCCACCTTTGTTTAATTAGTTGATTAGCGCCACGTCATGCGCACCATGATTTTGTCATTGGAGTATCAAGTACATTCCGAAGTTTCAGTTTCCAGCATTCCGACTGAAACCCAACCGATTTGTATTCGCTATTCAGTAAAACTGTAGATACACTTTAAATGCAATTAAATTTCAAGTGGGACAGTTTTTTGCTTGTAATTTAATAAATAGCATCGGAGAAAACAAAATAATTGCTTCCGAGAAGATGATGTTGTGAATGACCCGACTGCATCATCAGACCTAAACAAATTTATAACTCCTCTGAACATTTAAGCATCTACTAATTGCCGCACATGCCCGCACACTTATTCTAATACGATTTGAAGCTATTCAATTGTCTCTAATGGAAAATAGATTAAGTTGTGCAAAGTTCAACTCTCTCACACCCACAACATACAAGTATGCATACATACACACGAAACAAACAAGCATTAATATGAAATATCTCAGCCTACACACGTCGAAGGTCGCATGCCATGATGTTCCAGCAGGATGGATAACGCTGCCGACCGAGTGTACCTAATTGGGCGTGCAGTGGGCGCTCGGTGCACTCGCAGGCGCTCCGGACATCCGGATGTGTCAGTTAAACGGCGCTCTTGTTTCGTACACCTGGATGCTAACAAACGTGCACGCGCATTGTTGGCGCCGGATCTTCACGGCGACGCCGGGGTCGCATGGTGTCGTCGCCATGTTGTGCATTCGCACTGGTGCAGCTCAAAAAGCGGGTCACTCCCAGATGTTCGCGCGCGAATGCACATTATGTGAACTTTTCCTCCTTTTCCCTCATCCTCCGGCACGGCCAGCGAGAGATGCGCATACTTTTCGATTTTAATTAAAGCTACATTTCGCGGCGGCGGAATTTGCGACGGCGAGCGCGCTTGTGCCAACATATTTTATTAAAACGCATTGCTATTGCATTCATTTTCAATCATCAGTAATGCTTTACATTCTATTAATTTCGAGAAATTAAACTTTAGTGTCACAGAGGGATTTAAATTTATTAAGCCCTTTTACAAAATGATATAATTTGCGTCTATTAATAATATAACCTATATAATTATAATTATTACGTATATTTTTAGCTAAAAGTTGAGTTTTCAGTTTTCGGTATTATTATCTGGCGTAATCTCTTGAATTATTTAAACAAATATCTTGCACAGATAAAATATTTAAAATAATCTAAAATTAATACGTCCCTGTAGAGCAGCTTCGTGATTACACCCTTTTCGTAACTTTAGCTGTAACTTTTACAAACGTTTAATAATGCAATAGACCTAATACCACCGTTATAAATCTTTCAAGTTGCGCCGTAGAATCTTCCCGGAGGCGGTTTTCGGAATGGCGTCGAGCAGGACGATACCGCCGCGCAGCTGCTTGTACTTGACGACCTTGTCGGCCATGTACGCATGGATGTCGTCGACGGTGGCGCGCGCCTCGGGCCGCAGGACTACGAACGCCTTGGGCGCTTCGCCACTGTTCACATCCGGCACGCCGATGACGGCAGCGTCGGCAATATCGGGATGATCACGCAGGACCTCCTCTAGTTCGGCGGGCGCCACTTGGAAACCTTTCACCTATAGATACAACGCACATCGCACGTTCAAAACGACACTTTCTATGCGCGACACAAAGGAAAGTTTTTAGATTCCGATAACGGGATTATACCTTAATTAACTCCTTCAGTCGGTCGGTGATAAAGAAATGGCCATCATCATCGTAGTAAGCGATGTCTCCGGTACGCAACCAACCATCTGCTGAGATTGTATCGCGATTAGCTTGATCGTTATTTAAATAACCTTTCATAACCTTAAAACATTTTAGAAAATAACAAAAATTTTGTTAGTTAATATCCAACGTACTTGAGGTCCTTTAATGAGTAATTCTCCGGGTTGATGTGGACCTAGGGCAACACTATTCGGTTCACCTGGGGTGCATATTTTACACAGGGTGTTTGGTAGTGTCATACCACTTCCACCGATTTTGATGGCGTTTTGCAAATGAAACGATTGCACGTGCGTGAGTGGTGACGTTTCGGTCAAGCCGTACACTTGCAGCAGATGAATGGCGTTGGCGGTGCGCTCGCGGAAGCGCTCGATGTCGGCGGCACCCAACGGGGCGGCAGCTGACACTAATGCGCGCACCGAGCGCGATAACTTTTCTAGTTTTAATATCGGATTGTTTAGTAGCATGAGGACTGCAACGATAAACAGGCGCTTATGTACAAATTGCACGTTCCGTAAATATTAAACAGTGCGACGTAAAAAATGAAAGAGTGTGCAGAACGTGCGGAAACAAGTAATTGAGTAATAAAACATCAAAATATAGATAAATAAATAAAGGGAATCTTAGTACTACAGGTATAATGTTCCTTTGGTAATTTGGAAATAAGTTTTCGGCGAAAATTAGTTACAGGTAATACGTACTCATAGGTGGAACAACAAACAATATCGAAGGGCTTTGTTGGTGCAGCACTTGAGCGAATGCATCAGTTGTAAACTTGGGTAAAGTTATGAATTTAACTCCCTGCGCAAACAAGTTTATTCCAATTACGCCTAAACCATACAAGTGGAACATTGGCAGCATAATAGGCACGACGTCTTGGTTGGAACCTGAAACACACTTCCACTCACACAGTCAATAATCCGTCAAAGCGAGTAAACTGCTGCTGGTGCAATACTCGGGCTTTTGTTTTCATTTACCGTGCGTCTCGGTGGTGAACTTCACTTCGGGCGCACCGGCCTGCAGCGCGTTTGCCACCAAATTCCGATGTGTTAATTGCACGCCCTTCGGCAGTCCGGTGGTACCGCTAGAGTACGGCAGCAGGCAAACGTCTTCCGCTTTTGGCGAAGCGCGCGTCCGTTTGGGCCACTCCTTCGACGTCACCTCGTTAAACTTTATACACCCGCTCGGCGATGATTCATTCGGCTACAGGTTGGTTTCGGTCAGCGTTTGAAAGGTCGAAAGCAAAGAGAGATAACATGCGGGGAGCGTTTTGTGTTTGCTGTGAATATCTAATTTATCGCTTGTACTAGTACCGTATGATTTATCGCCACGATGGGAAGCTGGTGGCGGCCGTGGCGGCCTTGGTCCTCCCGCAACACGCCGTCGACCGCCTCGCGGATCGTCGGGTAGAGCCCGGCGAGCGTTACCACCAGCTTCGCATGACAGTTGATCAACTGCTTCTTTATTTCGCCTGTAAATTAAAGCGGGCGCAGCTCAGCTTCGTTCTGGGCATAGACAAATATTGTGTGAGGATTGAGCGAAATGTTTTGTACGTTTGAATAATGGTAACGTCCTTGTACGTCAATCATAAACAGTTAAACTTTCAAATCACTACAATTCAATAACATCTACAATATTATACTTTTTATATTTACTTGCTGTGTATGCTGGATTAATTGTTGATATCACGACACCGGCTTTCATGCCTCCTATCAAGGCCACAAAGTACTCCGGGACATTTGTGAGGACCACAGCGATCACATCGCCATTTTGAAGGTCTAAACTATGTAAAAATCCAGCGAAAGCATCACTTTTCTTATTTATTTCTGCATAAGTAAATTTCCGTGATGTGTCTAAGCATTCCTAACAAATTACCATCGAATTATCATTTTTATATTATTATTATTATTTGTTTATATTACTTACAACCGCGGTCTTATCATGCCACTTATCAAGTCCACTGAGTAAATACTCATGTAAGAGGAGATTATCAGGCACTTCTACGTCAGGCAGCGGCGATTTGACAATGTTTTGCATAGACTGATATCGGCATTGGTACCTAACCGCCCCCGCAACCGCCCGAAACTTCAAACACCGCGACAACGGAACCATCTTACGCACACAGCACTTACCGAGATACTAAGTGATGTTTTTCTAGTCTCAACTTTTTACACTCAACACGTGTAGGCTTTCTATGCGCATGCGTGTTTGGCTTGAAGCGTTTCGTGACTTAAGTGATTAAAGTACAAACTTTTAAATTATCTCAAACTTTGAATATTAATTTTATAGGCTCAAAATAACTGCAAACAATATTAACATTAATTTAACTATAAATCACTTTATAGTTATATTAGTAATACTTATTTTGACATCAATGTACATTAAGTTGCATACTTCTGGCGGTAATATTTTTTTAGATGAATAAACTATAGTATTATCGCATATGTAATAACTGATTAATTAATTATTTATTTACGTACAGCGTTACATAATAACACGAGAAATACAAGTTTTTAGGTTTATTTGATTACAAGCAACAAATAATCGCATTAATTAACTAGTTCAATATTTATCGTCACTTGACCTCTGCGTAATGCAAACATTAAACTGGGTTATAAATAATAAATTATTCATGCACTCACTTAAATCGTCAATAGTCAGTCAGTCCATCATCGTGTTCGAACCGGTCGTCCATTTTTTTCGCCCAAAAATGTCAAAGCTACTCCTACAAGTCATATTTGCTTTGTGCGTTTGTGTAGCAATAGGAAATTGCGCTGTCGCCATGGAAAGACGTCATCCGAACGCTGGTGAATCAAATTCTACATACAATATCCAATCGAATTAATACCAATCAATTAATTAATATTATAGGCCCCCATAGTTGCATTTCAAGCAGTTACAATTTAAATATGAGAGCTGGGGATGCTGTGTCTGTTCCAGGCAAGTGCATGAAAGCGATGTGCAAAGATAATGGCGATATTGTGTACTACAGGTGAATTAAAACGTAATTATTGTTGGGCGCACCGATTGTAATATTTAATATTATTGTAGCTGTGGAGTGGTCGCAATTCCACCGGGATGTAAACTTGTCACTGCTGATCAAAGTCTACCATATCCACAATGTTGCAGTACGCAATTTGTTTGTAACTAATCTTTGTTGCGGTGAACACATTTCATTTGAATGATGAACAAATAAACATATATTTTTGGATTGTTAATTATCTATAATATATTTAAACATAAATGAATATGCCCTACATGCATTAGTTACTGCGAATAAGAGATCAATAAGTTCAGTTATTCTGAACTACTCAATAAAATAATCAGTTATTACTTATTACATGTTTTTGTATATGTAATTGTACATATTATAATGTCAAGTCAGCTGTAATGATGGTACAAATCAAAATTTGGGTTTTATAGGCACAAAAATTATATATAATGAAACATTAATGTTTGAACTCAGACGATTTTATGTGTAAATCAATAAACTCATATTATTATACTTGTATTAATTAATAATATACACATTTATTCTTAGAAATGTAATATTTAATGAGATGACAACTTGTTTTAGAACTTTATTTAATGTCTTTTCAAGTTTCAAAGTATTTTGATGGTGTTTCTTGATGATATTTATAGTGGAACATTTATTTAATTTAAATTTATAGAATTCAAGGTTTTGGAATGTTTTGCGCAGGATTAATATTTTGAAATTTTTGTTTAATTAATTTTATATTCCTAGAATTAACGGCGAATGAATTTCATAAATTAATTTGTTAGTTTGATAATTATTTTAGTTTATATTGCAACATTATGCAACACTGTAATTATTAGTTCTTACTAATTTTAATGTTTCTTTGGTTGCAGATACGCGAGAATCAAGAATAATTTTGTGAAGAAAATTAGAACAAAACAACGCAGCAATTGTAAGTAGTTAACAATCATATTATGTTTTAGTTTATAGGTAGACCAATAGTGTGATTGGAACCTAATAGAAGATTTAATTATCGTACTATAAATTGTTTGCACGAACATTACTTCACATTCAAACGCTTCGCGTGCGTTTGCTTGAATAATTTATGAAAATTCATTGCATTATACATATAAAAACCTAATTTATCGAATTGGTATAATTGAATAAGTATTTATTTAATGTGTTTTTATTTATTTGGTATTAAGTACTTAGTGAAATTGCTTATGATTAACTAATACTAATTTAATAAATGATATGCACTTTACACAATTCAAACAACACCAACAGCTAAACAGTTGTGACCATAGTTTCAAACTTGCTCACAAGGGAGCAGCAGAATACTTTGCTTCAAACAAACTCTTGCATGAACGGATTTTTTTGTAAAATCTTTAAATAAATGGATAAAAACATTAATAATAACAATAGAATAGCATAAAATAAAGCATTTATTCTCGCATTAGATGCATTTACAGTTAAAGATCAATTTACAATACTGATTACATAAATAACACAATTATCTTTTTAACATTAATTTAAAGCATATGATGCCCCATCATACATCTTTAGATCGAAACTTTGGTCAATGTTAGGTCAATCGTGCTTCAAAGCGCTGTACAGATACTTTCATTACAATACATTAATTTGTGCTTTCACTTGTAGAATTATTTGTTCTGTTACATTGTTACTCATTTTACATTCAGCACACGCATGGTGCATAATAATTTAATAATTTATCTTATTTGCATAGTAATTTACAGTAATATGATTGAATTGTGAATTGTTCAGTTCTTAAACACTAACTATCATAAGTAATACCAGATTGGTACTTTGTTGGAGGTAATTATTATTTCCCACTGCTGTTAACTGGATTTATATCAGTTAATTGAATTGATTTATGTACTTTAACTAACTAGAACACATAACATGAATTACATATTTAGATATCAGTTGGTAAGATGTCAGGAATTAGATAAGAGCACAGTTCAGTTTCAGATCCAATGAAGAACACTTTGCTTGCAGTATTTTCATCCAACCTATATACAAACAGTACTTATAGTCTCATAGAATATTAATTTATATTTAATGCAAATGCATACATACCAGCCTTTAATGATTGACCAACAGCTGGAAAACAATGCAGGTGAATTCAGTATCAAACAAGCACCCAATCTCTCTGGGTAATGTTTTGATAACAACCATATCAGATTCTTGATTAGTTGATAGTCCATACAACTCAAACCAAAATCATTAAGGTCAAATACAATGCAGAGATTATCCACCACTTCTTCAAAGCACTTTTTACAAGCATCTTCAAGACAGTACACAATAAATTGGGTCAATTCATCAATGTTTCTCTCACTAGCATTGTGATTCTTAGCAGGAATGTATATAACTGGCCTGCCAAACATGTCTCTGTGCCGGAGCACTCTGGCTTTATTCTTTTCCATGTTGGCTTTGATTACTGGATGCTCTGGTGTTAACTCACTAACTCCATAGGTTGTCTTCCATTTATTTGTCTTTAATATTGCCTGTTTGGACGTAATTTACACATAATTTAATATTATCTGACTATTTGAGCATGGAACATACCTTAAATGCATCATCAGTTGTCTTGAAAGCCCTTAAATACCTCTTGAGAGAAAATTCATTGTGATACTGACTGGGATCAGCATCTGTTATCAGTTTCATGCGACTCTTGAGTTCTTGTAGATCATTTTCATCCACTGGTTTAACATTAGGTTCTGCCATTCTTGAATAATGCTGTGAGTTTTAGCACGGTAGTATTCGCGGTTGAATTGTTGATCACTGACGACCAGTAACTCGATTCCAACTGGCTGAATCCTAACCTCTATAAATTGTCGAGAATTCACATCTGGAGTTTGCGTATGTAAATATTTGTATTTTGATTTGATAATATCATATATCAATATAATACATGTTATAATACAAGTTGCAACACTAATGAAGAGTAGAATTAAATAGTTTATGAATGGATTATGCGTTATAATTAACAACTATATGGTTGAGGCATTAATTTGGAACTTTGATAAGCCAATAATTTAAAAATTAAGTCATTAGTTAAGAAATATAAAGAAATGTGGAAATGTGTTTGATGCAAATTTTGTAGATTTGTAAAATTTGCTTTGATGTGATAACATTTTACACAATTTGCGAATCACAATCGTCCATTGTTTTTCTCGAAGGCTCATTTTTAGACGATGATGTGATTTCTTTTAATGTATGCACATTTATCAATTTATTGTTATGGTTATTGCAGGGTACTAAAGGAATTGCGTTTGATAAGCTTTTAGTTAAAACTTTTGTTTGTTTCAGTTGCATAATATGCGCGCTTCATTATCTTCAATTAGGTAGCAATGTAAAACCTAGTTTGAGAATTCATTCCGAGATGGCGTTATGATACACTTTTCTGTTTTATGGTAGCAAGCTTATATTTAGTTTTGTAACTCGTTCCTAGATGTCGCTCAGATACATTTTCTTGCATTTAATTTAAATTTGGCTTTCCTACAATACAGCATTTAATAGTCAAATATGCAAGATTTCTTGTTCAGGGTTCTTTGGACCAACACAAAAAATGCGTTAATCAAATGTTTGAAAAATACGAATTAGACTATATTCTGAGTATATTGATTTATCTGCTTACTCATAGATGGTGCAGAGTATTAGATTAAAAATACATGTAAACTAAACAGGAAATTAGTGTTGTTGTTCACATATTGCAGATGTAGCATTCATTTTTATAATTTCATCAACAGCTTCAACAAATGACGGGACAATAACGGTTGGTTTAATATCACTGAACTTTGTCAAATCACTGTCCTGATATTTGCCTGTTTGGACTAATATTCCCAGCATGCCTGCTAATATGGCACCACCAATATCACTTTGAATATCCTAAAGTACAATCATATTAGTATTGCCACAACAAAATAGTCAAATTTGTATGGTCTTACATCACCAACCATGACAACTTCATTTGGTTTTTCATCCAATAAAGCAGAGTGAAAGAAGGAAACATTTGGTTTTCCTACAACTTGTGCTTTGACACCAGCTGAATACTCCAAACCTTTTACAAAACAACCTGGACCCAAAGCCAAACCATCTTTTCTTTTGTAATATCTACCATCATGGATTGCAATCAGGGATGCACCTTCATTTAAGTACCTAGAAGATTAATTAGTTTCCAAATAATAATAATAGAGCAATCTGTGTTTACCTAAAGGCTTCATTTAATTTCTCATAATGAAATTCATTTGGGGCCAACCCTATTACTACTGCATCAACTTTGTCAGCTGGTTTCTGTTTTGGTAAATCCTCAAGAGCCTCATTAGCAACTAGATATAAAGGATTATAATTCTTCTTTACTATTAATTCGTTTGCAGCTGTTAGGGATGTAAATATCTCTTCTTTTTCAATAATGAAGCCCAAATTTGTAAGATTTTCATGCAGTAATCGTTTACTTTCTTTTGTAGTGTTCGTTACAAATTTAATTCTTATATTTGCTGCGCGTAATCTAAAACATTACAGGTTATAATTAAGCAATTGAATGCTCATTTGGAATTTTCACTTTGATAATGCCTCAGGAGCACCGGGAATTGCTGATTTATCCACGTGCAATGTGCCACTTAAGTCAATTAATACTGTTTTAATCATATTGTTTAAATATCTTTGCATTTCCTAAGTACATTTGTAAATTTATTCGAATAACACGGGAACACTCTATTATTTTGGCGTGGTATTGTAATGTATTCTTAGAGGGCGCAACGGTACACTTTATTAACTAAAAATAGTTGAACGAGATGGTTTAAAATCTTTGAGCCGAAAGTTTAAAAATTAGAGTGCACCCACTTTAGCTGCGTTCTTTGATAAACCGCGATATATTTTGATTAATCATCCTAAATATTGTTAATAGGCGTCTTTGGCGTTCTTATATTCTGTTTTTTTTTTTCTTTTAGTACCTACGCACCTTTGATTTGTTCTGATCCGTTAAACTTGTAAAATATGAATAAATTAAATCATATATAATGTTGTTGTTCAGATGTCAAATATTATTCTTAGTTTCATTATTTAGTAAAGTCCACTTCTGCATTTCGGCATAGACGTGATAATTTCGCCCGAGAATTGAATTCGTTTGGCTCACGATGCCCTTATCTCCGTTTGTGTATAAACAACTTTTTTTTATTGCATTCCAAGAGCAAAATACAACATTGCTGTGTGTCGTCATTGCCATCTCTTCTCCCCGCACGCGATCTGCGCTTCAATGTCGGGCAAGAATGTAGTTGCCTGTTATCCACGCGCCGGCCTTAGCACATCTTATCTTATAGCCTTAGTATTTGCGCGACAATGCTACACTCGGCATGCTGAATTGTTTCGCCAATCGTATTGTTTTTAGATTTTAATTTTATAAATCGCGTTGTATTCGGTCGACATGTATTTAATTGCATTAAAGAACGTTTTTATTACGTTTGTCGTGGTCTTTACGCCAGTTAACGCGTCTCAGCGCTAGTTCTGTATGAGTCTCGGGTAAACGAGATACTTTGGTTTGGACTTACTTTAAACTTATAACAACCATGTAACTCCTCATCATTTATATAACACTATGTGCTTGGGTAAGTTATATCTGTCTGAACATTGTTGCGATCCTTGATGGATGCAAGTTCATCATACGAAATATATCCATTTATGTTTCTTTTATTGCAGGACCTGCCTTATCTTATGTTCCAATATTCGATAACGAGGGTAAGTGAATAATTTAATTAAATTTTAAGCGAATATTTATTTTTATCGTGTCAATCGGGCGTGATTCAATACAAACGATAGGTCGGTGATAAGATTGATCCGCGTATATCTTTCATATAATAAATATATTTTGGAGATATGTGAGGCTTTTTTTCATAACTTGCGCCATTGCTGCCGTCGATTTTTCTTATGAATGAAAATTTCATCTCTTAAATGTAGAATAGTCTCTGCGATTTGTACTTATTTTTCTCTTTTAGCTTACGAGATACTCGTATTCGCGATTGAATAATATGTGCAAAAATTGAAAAATGTCACTTTATAGCACTTTTAGTCGCGTTTTTCGATCTTTTACTGTAGGAAATATAATTATTTTATATCATTAACTGATAGAGAATTTTCCAGTCTTTCATAATCAGCAATTTGATTGATGCTGTCTCTTTAATTTTAAAAGATATTAATTATCAAAAATCGTCGAAAAGAAGTATCAAGCACCCCCTCCCTCCCTTGACAATTTTTTCTTAAGAATTAAAATTTCATATTTCAGTGCGCCGTAGTACTCACTGCGCTGGGAATTGTAGTTTCTTTTGTTATACCACGCGAACGCGGGGTTGCAATTAGTTCGAAATAATTTTCCTAGATGGTGAATTTAATTCTGTATCCCCCTGTTTAAAAATCTATTCCGAGAAAATTCCGTAACGCGAGTTATATTTAAAGTTGTGTGTGTGCGCAGTAGTACTCGTTGCGCTAGAAATTGTAGTTTCTTTAGTATAACACGCGAACGCGGTGTTACAATTAGTCCGAAATACTTTTACTAGATGGTGAATTTAATTCTGTATCCCTCCGAATAGAAATTTATTGCGAGAAAATTCCGTAACGCGAGTTATATTGAAAGTTGTGTGTGTGCGCAGTAGTACTCGTTGCGCTAGGAATTGTAGTTTTTTTAGTATAACGCGCGAACGCGGTGTTATAATTAGTTCGAAATAATTTTCTTAGATTGCAAATTTATTTTTGTATCCACCTGTATAGAAATTTATTACGAGAAAATTCCGTAAGGCGAGTTATATTGAAAGTTGTGTGTATGCGCGGTACTACTCGTTGCGCTAGGAATTGTAGTTTTTTTAGCATAACACGCGAACGCGGTGTTACAATTAGTTCGAAATAATTTTCCTGGATAGTGAATTTAATTCTGTATCCCCCTGTTTAGATATTTATTGCAAGAAAATTCCGTAACGAGAGTTATATTGAAAGTTGTGTGTGTGCGCCGTAGTACTCGTTGCGCTAGGAATTGTAGTTTTTTTTTTTGTATAACACGCGAACGCGGTGTTACAATTAGTTCGAAATAATTTTTTTAGATTGCAAATTTATTTCTGTATCCCCATGTATAGAAATTTATTGCGAGAAAATTCCGTAACGCGAGTTATATTGAAAGTTGTGTGTGTGCGCGGTACTACTCGTTGCGCTAGGAATTGCAGTTTTTTTTAGCATAACGCGCGAACGCGGTGTTATAATTAGTCCGGAATAATTTTACTAGATGGTGAATTTAATTCTGTATCCCCCGGAATCAAAATTTATTGCGAGAAAATTCCGTAACGCGAGTTATATTGAAAGTTGTGTGTGTGTGCGCAGTAGTACTCGTTGCGCTAGGAATTGTAGTTTTTTTAGCATAACACGCGAACGCGGTGTTACAATTAGTCCAAAATAATTTTACTAGATGGTGAATTTAATTCTGTATCTCCCTGAATAGAAATTTATTGCGAGAAAATTTCGTAACGCGAGTTATATTGAAAGTTGTGTGTGTGCGCCGTAGTACTTGTTGCGCTAGGAATTGTAGTTTTTTTTTGTATAACACGCGAACGCGGTGTTACAATTAGTTCGAAATAATTTTTTTAGATTGCAAATTTATTTCTGTATCCCCCTGTATAGAAATTTATTGCGAGAAAATTTCGTAACGCGAGTTCTATTGAAAGTTGTATGTGTGCGCCGTAGTGCTCGTTGTGCTACGAATTGTAGTTTTTTTTAGTATAACACGCGAACGCGGTGTTACGATTAGTTCAAAATACATTTTCTGGACGGGGAATTTAATTCTGTATTCTCCTGTGTAGAAATTTATTGGGAGAAAATTCCATAACGCGAGTTATATTGAAAGTTGTGTGTATGCGCCGTAGTACTAGTCGCGCTAGGAATAGTAGTTTTTTTAGTATGACACGCGAACGAGGTGTTACAATTAGTATGAAATAATTTTTCTAGATGGGGAATTAATTCTGAATATTCCTGTATAAAAAGTTATTGCGGGAAAATTCCGTAACGCGAGTTATATTAAAAGTTGTGTGTGTGCACCGTTGTGCTCGTTGCGCTAAAAATTGTAATTTTTTTAGTATAACATGCGATTCCACTGTAATTGATCTTTTTTCTCATAGTTCTTGGAGGTGAAGTCTTAAAAAGATCAGAGCCCTTTTAATAAATGGGCTGTTAAATTCATTTTCGGATTCGAGTCTACTTTGCCATGGGAAACAATTCTAAGGAGAGTAAATTTGGCGTAAATTGTTTGTATTACTCCTTGCTCGTTGCTTTGCTAATGCAGTTTTGTTTTCACCTCAGGTGGATGTGGAACCGCGCCATCTATCAGCACGGGCCTACCGCATTTATTATCCTATAAAGTTTTGATTGAAAATCATGGCGATAAGCGTCTTTTGGTTTCTTCAGAACGCGCTAGGATTTTCGGTCTTGTTTCAAGCTGTAAGTGATGGAATTTGATGTTTTCCTAATCTTAAATGTTTAGAATTTTAACTCAAAAACTAGACATTTCTGAATTGCATTTTAACACTCTGGTTTTTTGATTTACGTTTTTACTAGGGCATTTCATGGATCTGGACGCAACGTCAATATCTTACCTTTTGTGGTACACAGAGTCCAGAAGATTGGGAGAGAGCATAAGAATGAAGCTAATCAACACCGTCAAACGTCGCCATACCTTTTTCTGCTTTCAATATAATTGGACCAAGAAACAGCGCAAATCTTGTATTTCAAATTGAATTTGGCTAAAAAAACTTAAAACTATTGTTATAAACATATTACGACTGTTAAAGGCAACACAAGACTTGTTTTCACATTTGTGTTTTAAATTTGATTTTACTGAGCTAAACAGTTTTAAAATATGCTAAATGCTCGTCCAAGGTTGTAATTTAAAGATGCACTTTTTCTGTTCTCATTTTGAAACTTGTAAACTGTACAAATTTTATGTCGAATATTTTTCATACCAAATATTTGGCCATAGACTTGTTTTCAATTTAGTTAGTTTAAAAATCAAGACAAGTCTTGAATTAAATGTTTAATGATTGCAAATACTTGATAACCTGTCTGCTTTTAATTTAATTACAAGTCACATTGTATTGCAGTAGCAATAGGGGTCGCTACGAATGTTAAATGTTATTTGTCATATATGAAATTACGTTCTTAATACTATATGAACATACCATAACTTGGTTAAATACTTGTAAATTCTAATTTTACATAGATTTTATTCATTATTAAGCATGCTAGGGACGGAGATTTCGTATGCGCCCACGTTTAACATTAAGTAATTTTCAAATTACAAGTCAAAACTTGTAACATTCTTGATTAAATGGACAAACACGTGACAAGATATAATTGATTTAAAGAAAAGCACAAGACTTGCATTTTAACTCTGTTGGGACAAAATTAACTAATATTATATTACATGTGCTCCAATTGCATTGAACGTTTTATAATCACATTCTTTTCTAAACTTAATTTTGCTGAAAAAGGCAATGTAAGTTTTGCCTTCAAAATTTAATTTGGTTGGTAACGACAGCTCTATATTTAATTCTGCAAAGAAAGGCAGCGCACAATATTTGTTAAAAATTTAATATGGCAAAACGAAACAACGCAAGACTTGATTTCTAAATTTAATTCGAAAACGACTGCCCAAGTTTTGTGTATTAAAGTAAACTACGCCAAACATTAACTGCGGCCAAACTTGCTGGATTTGATGGAGCACAGGGAAATTTACAATTTTTTTATGATTAATGTAATAAGTTGTAATGCGGTTATTAATATGTACCTACTTTGTGTTATCTTTGTAGAACATTGGGAAGCGGTGTAAACTGTGTATTTTTGTGTTTGTATGGTCCCGTCTAACAATTTTTGTTAATTTCTTTCTTCGTTTCTACGTAGTCTTGACTTAGATTGTCTCTTTGACATTCTTCTACAACTTTACATAATTAATATCTCCTAAAGTAGTACGTAATTTGTTTGGAGGTGATACATAACGTCATCGTGATGATGCAAATGTGGCGAACCTACGCCGCTGGTTTTGATTACCAATTTTAACCCACTTGGATGGAATAATATTTATATTGTGATACCTATTTAAACTTTGCGAAACTACTAGGTAGGATAGGATTTTTAATTTATGTTAATAATTTATGACAAATAAGCAAATTACAACATTATTAATTATTTAGGATTATTGGAACACAAGTAGGGCGTTACTCAAATCAAATTGATTGAATGAAAATTGAATGAATCAAAAGTAATAAATACTACCCTGATGTTTTTAATTTTGTTTTGTCTCTGCTATGCTGCTTGTGTCGGCAATGCGCGTCACTTTTCTAGCTTATTTAGAGAGTACTGGTAGGGGCTATCTGCCTTGTTTGTGCCTGATATCAATTCTCTTTACAGTTTAGTCGATCGCGGGCTGTGCTGCGGTTAACACGTGTTTTGTTCGTCAGTCGATCTTCGTAGCAACTTTTCGCGTTTCCTACTTTAATTCTGTAATTGCCTTCATCGGCCTTTCGTAACAGGCTAATATGGCGCAACCCCAATTAATCATCGGTTCGCCTGTGCGCTTGGGATGTTCCGGCGGCCGTCGCTAAGTATTATTCGGTTGTGGAATTATCTGCAACCGTGTTGGTCTTTATGTGCGCCGCGTGCGTGTTCATCGGCAGTCGTTTATCATCTCGCATATTGGCAAAACTTGGACTTATTATTAGCAGTCATGGATATCGCAGATATTGGAGATGCGCACATTTTAAGGTAAGTCATTACTGCTACGAGATTTGAGATACGTCAATGTTTTTTTTATTTGAAAGATATATGAATTTTAAATGTTGTCAATAAAACACATTGTAATGTTATAAACTAATTCTTATTTCTTTGTGGCATCCCCATTGTTGTTTTCAGTATCGGTGTCTTAAAACATATAGTATATAATAAATCTTATGTGCGTGAAGCGTGTACAATGCATTGCTGTTGCATGAATTGTGTTGTTGTTTTTAAAAACAGATACATATATAGAAGAATCAAATAACAATAATAAAAACACTCGGTGGTCGAGTGGAGACGTGCACCTGCTGGCATGCTGGCAGACACGGATCGAATCTCAGGTATAGAAGGCATTTTTCTCAAACATAAAAATATCAGGTGTAATTTGGGTTGCATATATGCATTGCAACGAAATATAAGAGAAGTTGAAATACTTGTGAAGGCAATAAGAGAGGTAAGAAGAAAGTAAGTGGAGAAACGGAGAACAGAGAAATAGGAAAAGTCGAAGAAGGAATGGAATAGCAGAGAAGAGTAGAAGACAGAAGGAAGAGAACAGAGTAGAGAAGAGGAAAAGATAGAAGAAAGAGAACAGGAGTGGATGAGATTTTTAAATTTTTTGGCACGTGTCGTTATAAGACAGTCTACTGCTTCGATGTGTCCATTGCTCCCGGCCCATCCTACAGCTACGATGTCTCTGCGCTTCATCCCCGGAATTATCAGGCATATCAACAATTTTTATGGTGGGGGATCACCCCCAGAGAGAGGGAACTCCTTATAAGGACAATCCTTATAAGGTCTTGTTCAAATATTTCTAAGTTTTAAGTCGTCTCAAGAGAGGCGACACTTAAAAATATTCTTACAAGTTCTGACCTGTAGCTGAAATGAAAGAAGGAGCACACAAATCACACAGGATACCTTAACAATTTTTATAGTGGGGATCATCCCCTGAGAGAGGGAACTCTCTTAGAGACCTGTTCCTGAAATGATAGAAGGGGTACACAAATCAAAGATGTCAATATATCTTACTATTTATTTATTAGCAATCGAATACAAGTTTATATTTTACAAGTCAACAGAATACGTGCCGCCATATTGAAGCAGGACTTACGACCTGCATAGCCGCGCACATGCCAGCAAGTACTATTTCATAAAGTTCTGCCGGAATAATGAAATTAGTAAATAGCCAATATCCTAGGTGAATGGAAACAAATATACAGGATGTTACAAAAGGAAAATATAAAGTGCAAACAAAAAACTCTCAACACTACCAACACCGCTCACTCGACAATCAGGGAAACTAATATACAGGGTGTTCCAGAAGGAAAATTCGAAGTGCAAAGGGGACAATACTAAAAACCACAGTTAAAACAAAATTTTCACGGACACAAAGGAAAACATATATGCAGGGTGTTTTAGAAAGAAAATTCCATCAATCAAAACAGAACACTCAAAACTCTCAACTAAAGGTGATTTCCTACGTGCTGTTAGGAAAACTAATAGACAGGCTGTTTCATTTGCTACAAAATTAAAACACTTACATTTTAATATACGAGTATTGTGAATATATACTTATGGTGAAGCATCATCATAAATTGATAGAATATCCGACGGAAAACATTTAAATCAACAGACGGCAAGCGACGGCGAGTAACAACACAGTGGTTAAAGACGATTAAAATAACTATTTCTTTATAAACATTAAGATATACTGAGACTGCCGAAACGAAAAACTATTCACCGATCAAGATTTTATTTCAACAAGAAATTATTAATTTAATGATGCAATTCGATTAAAAATGTTTACGTGATCATCGAAAAATATGACCGAACCGACGGCCGACGGCAAAGTAAGCGTGATCGACCACATGAATATTGTCATTTTAATAATCCTCAGATGATTTAAAAAATCGTGCTTGTAATAATTAAATGAAGCATGTTATTTTCGGAAACGCGACTAAAAAGAATTCTGATAAAAATGCGACCACGTGTTTGTAATCTACAAAATTAATATCCGCCAAATTAAATAATCAATTTAAGTTAAACCGCCTTAACTTATCCACCAACCCGTGCATTGATGAGGAGATTTTCTATCCTGTAATATATTCTATCAACTGAAAACTCGTGCAGGGATTAACGGACACTTATTTCTCACTTAAGAAGACTCTAACCGTCATAAATCATTAAACAAAACAGGCACACATTCCCATTGCGAAAATTTTGACGATGGCCGAAATAATACACGACGATTAATCCAATTAAAACCTCAAAACGCATAGCGATTAGAGAGATACGTTCGCGGACCACGTGGTGAAAGGACTGCCGTGTGCACGACGCGTAGCGAGGCAGGTACACGGCGATATCACGCATCAGTCGAACAAAAAAAGTTGTTTATACACAAACGTACTAAGAAACACGTAGTTGAGAAGACGAAACTAAAATTCTCAATATTGAAATAGCACATATACACGGAATCTACTTTTACTTTCAATATTTTTCGGCTTAAAAGAATATATTGACTTTGGGATGTAATAAGATTGACAAAAACAGGAATTTAATTTACCATTACAAATAAATGATTTATACTTTATTGTTTTCGTAAAAGTTTACTGTGTACCTTAAATAATTAAGTAATTGATGTTCACAATATCGCGCCTAAATTAAATATTCACTTAAATGGGCAAAGGGAAGGTACTGCGTCATGTTTTTGGAGTATTTTTGGTAACGAATATCATTTAAACTAAAAACGTTAGCGACCAACGGATTGAAGAATATGAAACTGTGGAAAATTCCTATCAGATAAAAGTATAAAATAATAAAATTTCCTGGGCTAAAACGTCCAAAAATAATTTATATTTTATGAATACGACTCAATTCTACCGCTACCCTTGTACGGTGCTCTGAATCGAGTCACTTCTACCGCTACCTTCGTAGGGTGCCCTGAACACGAGTCAATTCTACCGCTACCTTCGTACGGTGCGCTGAACACGAATCACTTCTACCGCTACCCACGTACGGGGCCCTGAACACGAGTCACTTCCACCGCTACCTTCGCACGGTGTCCTGAATACGAGTCACTTCTACCGCTACCCTCGTACGGTTCCCTGAAAACGAGTCACTTCTACCGCTCCCCTTGAACGGTGCCCTGAATACGAGTCACTTCTACCGCTGCCCTCGTACGGTGCCCTGAACATGAAGCACTTCTACCGCTACCCTCGTACGCGTTCGTATGATATACTAAAAAAACTACAATTCCTAGCGCGATGAGTACTACGGCGCATACACACAACTTTCAATATAACTCGCATTATGAAACCTTCTCGCAATAAATTCAAATACTGGGTGTTACAGAATTAAATTCCGCATCTGGGAAAATTATTATGAACTTATTATAACACTGCGTTCGCATGCTATACTAAAAAAACTACAATTCCTAGCGCGACAAGTACTACGCCGCATACACACAACTTTCAATATAACTCGCGTTATGGAATTTTCCCGCAATAAATTCAAATACAGGGTATTATAGAATTAAATTCCGCATCTGGGAAAATTATTCTGAACTAATTATAACACCGCGTTCGCATGCTATACTAAAAAAGCAAAAACCACAAAATCACAATTTTAGCCGGTTGTCGAAAGTACCGCGTAGAAGTTTTAATAATCTACCAAAATAACATCAAAGCCATGAAAATTCAACTATATTCTAAAGGAACATTAATAAAATTTTTATGTTTATTTGTGAACTCAGCAGTTGAAATTGAAGTTTGAAATTTAATTATATGCAATCACCAAAGTTAGCAGCAAATCTTCCAACGGCACGTTTAGATCAACCACTAAATGATGAACATTTTGTCCGCGTTAAATTGTTATCAAAGAAACAGAATTACTTGTCTATCTAATCACCGTTGATTACTACCCAAATGCGCCCTAATCAAAGAATTAAAATATTAAGAATCATTTTGCGAACATGCAGTAATTTAGCAATTAATTTTGCAAGTAAACGTAATTTTCTAAACAAATTATGATAATAAAACTGATAAAATATTTAATTATTACAAATTAATAAATAAAACCCGTCGCAAAAATACAAAGTAAAAATGTAAACAAGTTTGTACGTGAGTGTGTGCCAGGGCAGTACTCTTCGGTGTGAGCCGCAACTCAAGTTGTAAATTATGTAAAAACACGTGTTCATTCTAGCTACGGTGTTAGAATCTAATATATTTACACTTATGCATAAGATCAGGATATTATGGGCAACACGACGGTTTATTTGATTGTAACTCATTTACGAGTAAATGAATATATGAAAGATTTGCAACTGCGATAATTGAATTAATTTCGCCCGGATATTTATATTGAAAAGAAAAGGAGACATTTCACATCATGCTCAGAATTTGACGGTGTTAATAACAGTTGCTACAAATTTCGAAGTTTATTCAAATTGAATCACCTACCTCTCAGCCCATTGTTAATCCAAAATATTTGTGTAACATTATACCCGGCATAAATCATTACCACAAAACATCACGTCACATACTATTATTATTCGACGCGAACGATAGTCGAAACGGTCGAAACGTGGTCCGTCGCGAGAAGCATTTACGGACGATAAGACGAAAAACATCATTCTACTGCTGCCAAGTCCACGTTAATCATACTACGCATTAATAATGATAGCGACAAAAACAAACACGTCCTTTAACGCGAAGCACCGAACAGAAACTGAATTCACGAGACATGAGGCGCGCAGCGAGATACCGTCGTGAACACGTCGGCGACAAGACTGAATTGTATGCAGCAACGACATTGGGCAAGGTTGCGCAGAGGTGATACTATCCAATAACAATAACAATAACAAACCGGTCACTATCAACGCTACACGCGGAATCTACCAGTGACAAGACTGTTATTACACAATGTATGAAAATTATTAGCTTATGTCAAACAAGTAGCAATAATAAATCGACACAAATAAATTAACAAAATACATAGGTACGAGTATATCAAAATTAGAGTCGTCTGATTGAATTCGAATTAAGTCCCTTCACACTTTCTTGGTAAATTATATCAATGTAATTAAAAAATCCGTTGATCAACATATCAATTTTGTCTCGCGAATCAAATTTGGTCGCGTCTAAACTGAAACCTACCTGCATCTTATCGTCATTCATGGGAATACTCACACCAATACCAAGCGCGTGCTGAAGCGGAATATAAAACGTAGGACATATAATTTTAGCGCCATTGACGAATTCCGTTTTGGGTCTACCGGGAATGCAGCTGAACATGGTAGCATAAATAAACGATGGCAGAAAACTTTCACCATAGGCAGCGGTAGAATGTTTAGAAATACATACCTTGAACGTAATATACATAGAAATAATATCAAACGATTTGAACTTCAAAATTTAATAGGTTTCCTTGAATTTACGTCATAAGAATAAGTAATAAAAGAAAAACAGATTATACTAGTAATTAAACTTGACTAATTATCGTGAATTAAAACAAACTATAAATAAATGAACAAAGTTTTTCCAAACAAATATAACTTCTATTTGTGTAACTTCGGCAATAAAAGTTTACACTCTTTTGTTATTAAAATTACTTTATGGAGTACATCCTGTCATCTAGTGAACACTTATTTAATTATTTATTCTTACGGTCAACGTAAGATGGCAGCAACAGCACATTTAAATCACCACAGTCACTTGCCACAGCTGATATGTGTATAACCTGCATATAACATGTTGTCACCAACATTTTCGCCTTTCATAACTAAATTTTAGTTTTATACGCAAACTTGTGCAACAACATACAATTCCCTTGCTTTAAAACGATTTAATCATTTATTCAAACATGTCTTCTGAGGATGTTATTAATGGTGCTGATCTATTTTTGCGTGAGGTGCCGAACGTGAAAATAGGGTATTTATTTCAACACATTTTAAAAGTAGAATTAAACAATATTTGATCTTATATTTTAATTATAGTAAACCAGTGAAGTCCATACCAACTGCGCCTAAGGCAAAGGAGGAACTTCAAGTGCTTAGACTTAGTCTCAAGGCACAAGAAAATATCATGGAAACTTTAAAATTCATTCATGGGGAGGTATTTGAGTATAATATATATGAATGCAATATTGTGAAATAAGCTATAATTGAAATATTTTAGGAGTATTCATTGGATGATGCTTCTTCCTATGTGGACAAGGGAAGCAGTTTAGGCAACAAATATTGGGTTGGCAGAGGAAATCTGGTGATTAAGGGATGCTATGATTATTCAAACTCAAACAAAGAACCTGATAGTGAGGTGGAGAGACTTAAAATGTTTGCTGCAATGAGATTAGAAAGGTTTGTTACAGTTACTGTGAGAATTTTAATTTTTAAGTTCCTGATTTTAGCTATGGTTTTCACAAAGAGCACTGCCAGGAAGCACTAGACTTTTGTAATGGTGAAGTTGAAGACTCATTAGGATTACTCTATGAGAAATATTTGAAGTTGAAGCCTAATGTTGGTCAGGATGTTCCTGAACTATCTCAAGAAGAACTTTTAGAGCACAGGCTGGATGAAAAAAGCGTCTTGGAGTCAATCTATGAAGATGCCTTTAAAGAAAAGGTCAAGGACTCAGTGTGGATCATAACATTAAAATTAGATTATCTAGTAAATTTGTACCACAAAAATAAACCAGCAAAAAATCATAGCAATGCCAATACGAAAAACAACGTGAGGAAAAAAGAGAAGTGTCGTTTTTTCTTACGAAATCAAAAGTGTAAATATGGTAATAACTGTCGATTCTCCCACGAAGATGATTCAATAACTCCTGGGAATTCGCCAAATGATCATTTAACGAACTTCAAATTTGAGTTGGAGATTCGTTTTCCAAAAGACACCAAATATCCTTACGAAACACCTATTATATTCTTGAAAACTGACGCCGTTGTCCCGCATCAGATTCCCCTTCATATCTGCAAACGCCTTCACCAGGAAGCAATGCTGTCTGCTCAAGATGGCATGCCGTGCGTGTACTCCGTTTGTGAGTTGCTCAAAAACGAAGAGGAAATTACACATTATCTGAAAACTGTCGAAATGGACTTTTTGTTACCACACGAGTCACTCTTTCCAAAGACTACAGAAGACACCAATCGGCGTAATCGACCCACGCATTATAAAAAAGGAGCGACGAATCGCGATAACAAACGCGAATATTCAATGACTGAGATCATTAAAGAAGATCGCCGCATTCAGCAACAATTCTACACCAAACAGACGAATGCTGCATACAAAAAGATGCAAACCGTGCGGAACAATTTACCTGCTGCCAATTTCAAAGAAACGATACTTGAGACCTTGCAAGGAGCGCAAGTTATTGTCATAAGTGGTGAGACAGGTTGCGGTAAGAGTACACAAGTTCCACAGTTTATCCTCGATGACTGGTTGGGATCCAAAGAGGAGGATAATTTTAAACATGTTGAGATTGTTTGTACACAACCGAGACGTATTTCGGCTATTGGGGTCGCGGAAAGAGTAGCAGATGAACGCGTTGAGAAAGTCGGTAATACCATCGGATATCAAATTAGATTGGAGAATAAAATCTCCAGCAGCACCCGACTCACTTTTTGCACCACTGGTATATTACTGAGAAGATTAGAGGTAGATCCTTTACTGTCAACAGTTACTCATATTGTTGTTGACGAAGTACACGAGCGCAGCGAAGACAGGTAATACTATTTTTTCAGTTTTTATTACCTTTGACGAGGGTTTAATTAAAAATCTGTCCCCAGTGATTTTTTACTTCTGATCCTACGTGACTTACTTCCACTCCGTAAAGATCTCAAAGTCATTCTCATGAGCGCGACGCTCAATGCTAACATCTTCTCGGACTATTTTGGCAACGTTCCAGTGCTTGAGATTCCAGGTCGCACTCATCCTGTCGATCAGATCTTCCTGGAAGACATACTCGAAATCACCAACTACGTGTTCGACGAATCCTCTCAATATGCGCGAAGTGTTAAGGACAAAAACATCGAGCAGGATTTGCTCAACGGTGAAGTATCACGGATTCACACCAAGCCCAAAAACGTCGTTAAGGACGAGAACCTAAAATATTCAGAGATGTTGGCACGCTACAGCGGTAAGATTCAAATTTTTTTTGGAAACTCAAGAGTTCCATTGTTTACGTTATAGATTGCAGTCCGAAAACGTGCAGGACCTTGCATCTGATGGATCCGGAAAAAGTAAATTTAGATTTAATCGAAGCGGTTCTCTTATGGATAGTGTCGGGTGATCACGATCATCCGAAGTACGGTTCGATTTTAGTATTCCTTCCAGGCATTGCGGAAATCACGGCGCTGCACGACCAACTTTCCTGTCATCCGGAGTTCAGCCCGAAGTATAAACGCTACATGCTGGTGCCACTGCATTCGAGCCTTAGTAGTCAGGAGCAGGCGATGGTTTTTGAGTAAGTTATGAATGCATTGAAAATATAACGGCGGTTTAATGCGAGGTTTCGGTTAATGCTAGAAAACCGAAGGATCCGGCCATGAGAAAAATCGTACTGTCGACGAATATCGCAGAGACCTCCATCACCATTGATGATTGCATCTTCGTGGTGGACTCAGGGAAAATGAAAGAAAAACATTTCGACTCCAACCGCAATATGGAGAGTCTAGAAACTGTGTGGGTAACTCGCGCCAACGCGCTCCAGCGAAAGGGTCGAGCTGGTCGTGTGACGTCCGGCATTTGCATACATTTATATACCTCACATCGTTACACCTACAATATTCTCGGCCAGCCTATACCGGAGATTCACCGCGTACCTCTAGAGCGACTTGTACTGAACATCAAAGTCCTGCCAAACTTTTCGGAGCGCGATGTTCACGATGTTTTGGGTTGGTTGAAATACGAAATTTGCTTTGGACTAACTTATGACTTAATTTAATTCCTCCATTCAGTAAAAACAATCGAGCCACCTGTTCGTGAAAGCATCGATTCGTCTATCATTCGACTACAAAGCGTGGGCGCGCTGGATAGGGATAATAATTTAACACCGCTGGGTCATCATTTAGCTGCACTGCCGGTCGATGTGCGCATTGGCAAATTGATGCTCTTCGGTGCGATATTTTCGTGCATTGACAGTGCACTCACAATGGCTGCATGCTTGAGTTATAAAACGCCGTTTGTTGCCCCGTTTGGGCAGCGAGAGAAGGCGAACAAGGCGAGGCAAAAATTCGCGATGGGCATGAGTGATCAGATGACGGTTTTATTGGCGTACAATGTAAGTGCACCAAACTTGGGCAGCGTGTTGTGCTGTAGTTTAATTAACTTTTGTTTTAGAAATTTCAAGAGGCAAACAAGAAAGGCTACTTTGCGGGATTAAACTTTGCCAAGGAGAATTACCTCTCGCATCGAACTTTGCTCACAATTAGCGATGTAAAGTTTCAATTTTTAGAACTTTTAGTAAGCATAGGTTTTATTCCTATCAACATTACCAAGCGGCCTAAGTCGGGGCAAGATAACATCTTGGCACTAACAGGTGCAAAGGTAAATATTTACCGTAAACATAATCATGAGTGCATTGCTGTATTTTGTTTTAGTTTAATGAGTACGGGTCTAACACCAGAATATTATCATCGATTTTATGCGCCGCGTTATATCCGAACGTTTGCAAGGTGTTGCAGCCGGAGAAAACTTTTGTTTCAAGCGCCGCTGGGGCCGTGCCCAAACAATTAGAAGCTAAAGACTTTAAATTCAAAACCCGGCAAGAGCAGGTAATACTTCTTATGGAATTATTCTTGCACAATAAAAACTTTGTAATTTTATTTTTATTGCGGTTAGGTGTTTCTACATCCAAGTTCAATTGTTTTTGAACTCAAATATTTCCCTAGCCCGTTTATGGTCTATCAAGAAAAGGTGAAAACGTCGAAAATTTTTATCCGGGATTGTTGCGTTATTCCAGCAATTCCGTTGGTGCTCTTTTCCGGTTTCGACGTCAACATCAACATTCACAACGGAATCACATATCTGGAATTGGACGATAAATGGATTATGTTTGAGGCCGAAGAACACAAGGTATGTGTGAAATGAGGCAGTCGAGCAGACATTTTTGACAGGAAATTGGCGTATTATTTGTTCGTAGGTCGCCGAAATGATCAAGACGATACGCGTGGAATTGCTGGATTTATTGGAGGAGAAGATCAAAGATCCGCTATTGAATTTACAGAACAACGCGAAGGGCGAGCGCGTCATCGGTACCATTTTACAGATGGTCACTGGTGAATGACAACGGGTTTAACTATTATTTATTTTCGCGAAATAATTTATTTTTTTATTTATGTAAATTATAAATTATTTTCAATACTGTTGGATTTGTTTGATCTTTATTGACACGTGTAATAAAGAGAACGTTGTTATTTTAAAGACCTGAGGGTAATCTTCCTCACTGAAAAATCATGCTGATAATGTCCCAGCCTGCGTAATCCTGCAAAGCCGACTAGAACCCGTTTTTATCCAACGTCTTTATCTGCGACGTTAGACAACATTAAGCAAATCCTAGTTTAGTTCCTTACAAATTGCATGACGACCCGATAAGAATCCCTCGTCCAGTCTGTGCCGAGGGACCTAGGACTACGCGTTGAAACGACCTCGACGCCTCTGAGAATTTTTACGTCGATTTTCCCTGCGCCTCATTTTCCGGCAACGAGCAGCATTTTGCTATTGTTTCGCACCCGCTTTGCCCGCGCGTAAATCACGCTGATTGTTTAGTTTAGTTCGTTGTTCCGTGTTAGACCATTACCGAGTTAGATGTAGAATAAAATAAGATGTCTGAACGGGCGCGGCGCGTGGAGGGTAAAGAGCGAGCAAGTTATGTACAATGCTTTAAGTAAAGCGAAACGATTGCGGTATTAACGGGAATATTTTAGGAGCCACGTTTACGATGCCGCCGACGCCGCTAGTTGTTGGTTGGACGGCGGCGCGCAAACGGGGCACGTGTGGCTTAGATGGGAAAAGTTGTAAGCTCCTACACCGGTCGCTTTTCTCACGATTTATTTGGACGGTACTTTCTTCTCTTGCGGGCATGCGGGCGTGTTTTGTACTCGCTGATTCGCTTCTATCTGTGATTGTAATTACCCCTTTAACTTTAAATTACTTATCAATGTTTATGAGTGCACTAGTTTGCTACAATGTAGAATCGAATAACTCTAAAGCCCAATTGTTTTTCCGTCAACACATAAACTTCATTACCAAGCAATTACGGATTTTAAATTATCAAGAGACGCATAAAAATATATTTTTAACACGTTTTAAGGACCTCAAATTTGAAAAAGAATAGACTTACCTCATTTTAGGTTTTGTTGCATTGGTAGGGCTCGTTTCCAGTTTGGTTACAGTCGATTAGTATTGGCAAAACAATTCTGTAACGAATAAAACGTTTTGCATTAATAAAAATCTGTCTGTAAGAGCACACTTTCGGAATATTAATCTACGTCATTAAAAACGTAATCACAATCCTTTCTACCGACCCAAACATGAGAGACAATGCGCTTCCCGCAGTAAGCTTTAATAATAACACGCAATTTGCGCGTCGGGATGAATTATAATAAAGCGAAACAAGCGAAATAACATGCCGACAATGGCGCACGATAATTGCGACAACAAAAGCGTCACATTAAATTCCTACGTCTACTGAGTGCTAAAAAGAATGAGTTGGCTAAATGCAGCGCTTAAACACACCGGATAGACGGGGGTAAAAGCTGCTCTGTATTCCGCTTTTGTTTCGGTCTTTCGAGTGAGCGTCGCACGCTCACCTGAGGCTTTTTTCGATAATGACTCCCAGTTAATTGGGATATCTTCCGCTCCTTGCGCGTCAACTAGCCGGGAGCACAAAGCATGGAATTGAAATCGTTAAAACCCCGGTAACAAGATAGCCATTATGTCCATAGTCAGAAAATAAGTCTTTACTTCAAATATTTGCACAATAATTCAATTTAACTACTTTTTTAGCTTACGATACAAAAAATTGACACTTCTCGTGTCGAGAAAGACAAGTTGGCACTCTGTTGAGATTGCAATTAACCACGTTCCACTCGATCGAAATTGACTTATAAACAAGTCACGTTTTCACCCCCCTCGTCCAAGTTCGCTGAACTATCGTCGATGTTGCATCCGAAGATTCCCAAGGTGGAAGATTTCGGCACAGGCAGCAACTTTTTTTACACCCCAAGTCGAACTGGAAATCTCACACTACTCACACTGGGTTGTGCAAGTAAATCCACAAGGATTAGGCGTAGGAGCGTAGATGCTTAGCGTAAGCGAAAACCCTCGGGGAAACTAAATTAACTAGGATTAGATAGATTTCAACGTGTTTTCGGTCCGGCAGCCCGCATCGGCGGTGAGCTCGGAAATTTGTTACATTCCGCGCACATCATCGCATGATTTAATTGATTGATTAGATGTTTCATGGGCAGTTCTCTACTGCCTGCGATTAAATCAAATTGGGATTTAACTATTTAGAGCAATATCTGCTATTCGCATTATTACGGATGTGCAAGCATTTTTTGCGCACAAACGCGCGCATAATTGGGAATGCCCCGAAGGAATACACAATCCCACGCTGCAGGCGCAAAGCAGGATTATTGTGGATATCACATGCATGCGATCCTGTATCGATTATTTAATTGGTTCAAGGATTGCGCCTCGGGTTGCAAATCGGGCAGGGATGAGAGACAAGTGTTTCAATAATACAAGGCTATTAATTACATAAATATTTGCATATGTTAGCATGCAATATCGTGCAAATATTGCTGAATTTACTAAAATCTATATTAATTCTATCAATTGATTGCGTTTTTTCTGTAAATGTAAATATTGATTTGATTGATAGCAGGTGGAAGGTTCGGGTTTGAAGGTTGAGCAAGTCGACACTAGTTATTCTTGTACTTACTTTCGCTACCTAGAGAACGTATGATCCGTCCGTGGTACGACGAAATGGATGAGGGAGAGCGGACGGCGTGAGCAAATCGAACAAATTCGGTGCCTGTACGGATTCAGTAATCAGTCTCATATTTTATGAAATGGAAACCTTTCCGTGCCACATCCGGCCGGTTAACCTTTGGAAATTGCACGACTTCTAATACACTTAGACGATTCGATGGGTTAACCCTGGATTTCTCGACTTTCAATCATGCTATGAAAAACTTATGCCAGTTTTGGCTTGATTTGACGTTTCAAATTAGAAAAAATATAATGTACCAGACAAAAAAGAAGATAAGTGCGTTAAGGAACTTGAGAATTAAAGAAAAACCTAATAATTAATTAAAAACTCAGGAAACTATCACAACAAAAAGAAAAAAGTTAAGAAGCATAAGTAAACCATCTTCACAACAATTAATTAACAAACTTGGAGCCAAGCAACCAAACAAATGCCTTGTTTGATATATTAAATATTAAAATATTTTCTTTCATAAAAACCTGAATAGCACTAAGAATATTCGCTTATGGAAATACATTCTGCGCTTGTAATGAAGCAGTATGCAACCTGCCTTAAAGCTTGAATAATTTAATATTTACAAGAGCAAGTAATCCAGTATTTATGCGAAAAAGTTCTCGTTCAGAAAACTTTCATAATTGCAGTTTGTTGTTAAAAGACACAAATTGAAGTATTTAAAAACGCCATAAAACGCTCGTTAGCTGCACGGCTGAATGCAAACAAAACGACAGTGCGTCGAAAAAAAAACGCGGGGAAAACTGTTGAGCCGCGTGTCCTGCTAGTGCAGGACAGGAGTATTCCCTATTATGTGTGCGAAACGCTCGCGCGTTCATCCTCCTTTCATTTGGGGGTGCAAAAAGAACGCCGCCTCGCCGCGCTCGGAGGTTTTCGGAGACGATGCGGCGCCGACGCGTATCCCATTACACAACCCCCGATCGTCCTGCAGGGCAGCGCCGTGCGCGAGGCACGCCACTACGTTCCTTCGTACCGAGCGCGCCGCCACGCGATCCCCGCCGCCGATTTCCACTTTCGCACACTCATCTCATCGTCGATTCATAAATTAAATAAAAATCGTGCGCGAGCTCACAACGTGCACCAATAACACTCAAAATAAACATAATGTAATCATTCATTGATTGAATATGATAAATATTATTAATTTACGGTGGGATTATTGAACGTGGTGACATTAAGAAAAATTATTAACTTAAATATGTAATTTAAAAAAAGTTGTGATAATGTGTTGGCATCAGAACTGTGTGTGTGAGACGCGAGGATGATTGATTGTGCGTGGACCACACCGCGCGGTTTTAAAATTCATGATGAACCAGATCAACGTGTCACCGTGCCACCAAAGATGAGACCAAATAAAAAACATTAAAACATTGCGAGAAGAGTCTGCACAGTTAGTGAAGTGCCGAAAAAAATGATGAATATGGTGGAGGAGTGGAATCGAACCAACGAACGCGTTCAGCCGCCACCGGAGATCAACGGCGGCGGCAGCGGCGACTACCTGGATGCTCTCGCCTCCACCGAGATGCCATCGATTGGCTATGATCACAATCAAACCGGCGATAATAACTTTATGTTGATCGTCGAAGACATCGATCAATACTTTAGCCATTTGAATTTCTCCGGCAGTGGCAACGGCAGTATCGATGCAGACGGCGTCTCCTTTGATCGCCGATTGATCAACTGCATATATCTGAACGTGAGCAACATCACCGTCTGCCCGAATGCTACCGACGTGCCGGACCCGCACGTCCTGCCCGACCGCAACTTCTGGGCGCTCATCCTCGTCCTCTTTCCCATCTTCACGTTGTTCGGAAACGTGCTTGTGATACTCAGTGTGTACAGGGAGCGAACATTGCAGAGCGCCACAAACTATTTCATCGTCAGCCTTGCGCTGGCCGATCTTCTCGTCGCCGTCGTGGTTATGCCCTTCGCCGTCTACGTTCTGGTAATTAATTATTAATCATATTTTCTGTTGTGTGTAAATTTAATCCGGCCGCTGGAAACACAAATATTTTTCATCTCGTTGGCAAACAAATTTTGCGCGGATAATCTAATCTCCTTTAGAGCATAATAAAATAATCATGTTACTCCTTGTTACCTATTTATTTGTGCAAGTGCAAATTAGGAAGCCGTATACGAATGCGCGCTCGGCGCCTCCACCCAACCAAACGGCTTAGCGCTTAGCGCGTCGTCGAGCGCGCGTGCTAACAAAATAACCTTTTCATTAGTTGATTCGATTTTTGGCGTGTTGGCTTCCATTTCCCGCGTTAATTCGCCAGCCTGCTTCCAGCTTCCAATTATCGTTTTGTCTCGCGCTCGTAGACGCCACGCCATAAACGTCGCGCCAAACTGCTTTTACAGTGCTTATAAATATATTTCCAAGATTTATTCATTCATTCATTCATGCGAAGCGTGTAAACAACAAGTAGCAGACGTATAATTCGGCATTTAAAATGATTCCGAATTATATATTTTTCTCTCAGTGATTTTACTTCCAAATCAAGAATTACCTTGTAAAGTATGTACATAAATTTGCTATGTCTTTTTAGATTGATTTGATGTTGTGATTGACGTACTGCTAATTACCAAAAATCATTTATCACTTGTGTTCGCGTCGACGGCACATCCATATCAATACGTTGAATTGAAACGAAACTTTACGCGATGTCCGAACAACACGTGGACAGCCTCCTGCCCCGTGGGCCAGACCTGCAGGATGAGTAATCCACGTCAATTCGTTACTGTCAATTTTGCTTTTTGCTTCAAATATCCCGTTCTCGTTTAAATATATTTTTATAATTTCCAAATTTATATTGATATTTCTTTATTCATATTTTGCTGAAATTCGCACAATAGCCAACAAAAACAGAAATATTTTATTGTTATAAAGCGTTCGCGAAATTCTATTTACTTTAGTTAGGTATTTGTAGCAAAAGCAGTAAAAGCAATAAAATATCAATTGATGCACTATTTCAAATTAGCGAATTTTTTAAATGCTTTTTGACCCGTTCATTTGATCTTTCATAGACCAAAAAATCGATCTGTGAAATTGACTAATATATTGATGTAAAATACAAAAAAATCTATGTATTTATTTTTCATTAATTAGTAGCTGATTTTGTTATCATTTTAAAATAAAATATTTTCTAGTTTGTACGACAATATAACATTATCGACGATAACTATATCTTACATTACATTTACGATCCGAGACAGGCAGGCCGATGTACACGTTTCTCCTGCTCGGCTACAATCTGCTCTACCTACAGATAGTATCAGCGAAATTTATAGTGTACCGGAGTATGACTCGAGCATTTTGTACGCCGCTCAATTGCCTCTTGTTCGAGACAACTCGATATTTATAGATTTATAGCCTGTTTTCAACTAAACTAAACTATTATATTCCCGCTGTAAAAATTGATGTTATTATTATTTTTTCACGCTTTATTTTGCATTTCACATTTTCATTTTATGCTAGTCATTGCGCGTATTCATTTGGAATTTCCAACTAGTCATGTTGCACTGAAATGTTGAAGATGTTGAGTGATGCGAACAGTGAACCTGTGTCAAGTCCCGCCCGACATACTCTCTGGATTATAAAACAAAATTAAAATCGATACGGAAAATAAATTGCCCCAGAGTGCAGAAAAAAGGGTTTTCATAGAGTTTCGAGTTTACACGGTACGTCAACTTCCACTTCAACTTTTGCTTGATAAAAATATGACGTTAACAAAGTATTTTTCTTGACGCTAAAATAACTGCGATTGCAACTTTAATTCGCTGTGTAAATCGAATCGGCAGTTTATCAGCATGTTTGTGAATCCATTTAAAAGTTTTTCAATTCCGTTCGGAGCAATTCAGTGTCGCTTTGCTTGTTTCGAATGTTTTTGCAGTGGCTTGCTGCGGTCAGCATGAAAAATTGCATCCAGTTATGGTCGGAACGAAAAACGTTTACAATTAATCGTTAATTCGTGTTGCGCTAGTATATGCGTACAGATTTCACTGTGGTTTAAAAATAAATTGCTACAAACAGACGAGCGGGTAATAAATCTTTTCATCTGTGATTCATGTTAAAAATTACAATTTTTTTCCCGTGTTGATTTTGAGGTCACATCTTCTGTGGTGTCTACATTTCCGGCGAGGTTTTTTCTTCGCCTCTGCAAACTCGTGTCAACCATCCGCAAATAATAAATCGCGAGTTTGTGTGTAAACTTCAAACGAAATCGCGACTGAGGCGCAATATCGCAGATAAGTTACTATGCCAAAATTGAGTTGTTGACGTATTTCGTCTCGAACGCCTCTATTTGGAAAACGAAGCAAAAGAAAAAACCACACTCACATACACCGTTCAAGCCAAACAAACCCCACGGCTTCAAACGCGTTGTTCGAATCTTCTCAGCGCAAAGCAGCGCGAAAACATTCGCGTCGAGGCTTCATGCTTCAAACGCACATGTTCCCTTGACTACGTCGCTGCGAAAGCTTTCGGCTCGGACGCAGCGCGCGAAATAAAATAAAAAAACACGCACGCGGAGAAAATTATCTGACTGAAAGCAATTTTATTGAAGCAGGTCTGCGCCTCACTCACGACACGCGCTCGTACCCGTCATGCTTGACGACTGCGGAAATTTTGCAAGCCGTGGCGCAAAATCGCAAACTCACCAACGGAAATATTGACATTATTTGTATGTTTGTAACGTTTTCATTTCGCTCCGGCACTACAGCGGGTGTTTGTTAAACACGTGCGGCGGCGTAAGCGCACTCGACTTCAATTTGATGGTAAATTAATTAAATTCGAATCAAACTTGCGTGGAACTCAGGTGTGATTACAACATTATGGGCCATAATTTAGGAGCGCGCGTCGTGCTTTCCAAGAGACCTACGGTACGTAAACATTGCGGCAGTAATTGAAATTTGGCGTCAGAAAGAATTTTCGAATAGTTTTGCAATCGGAAGAGAACGCTTCATAGGTTTACACGTTCAAATCAATAAATGGGAGTAAATTAATTGTCGGAATTACGAAACTGTTCGCAGATCCAACTGATTGATAAATGATTCTTCCCTAGAAACGTATTCTTTTACGCAGCAAAAATATAAATTATGTTTCACTAGTTTTCTGCTTGTTTATTGTGTGTTATTCAAGTTTTATCAAACAAACACACGTTTTATTTATGATTCAATCATTTATAAAACACACAATTTGCTGAAAAAGTTGGTGATGTATGATGTGTTGCCAATATGAAACTTTCGTGCATGAATAAATAATTGTTGCACCAGTTTCGATTCTCGTACGAATGATCAAAAAACAATTAATTTATAATTAAACAAGTTTAATGTTAAATGCTGTATGTTTGTGTGTCTGCTTGAGTCTGTTTGATTGGCGCGAGCTCGTTCTGTTGATTGTTTTGGCAGTGGCAATTATTCGACTCACTGCTTGAAAGAGAAACAATCGATGCAAAAATATGCGCCAATGTTAATTGGCAATGTTTATTATGGCATGAAAAATCATCCAACTTTTTGATGCTTTTTGACGTGTTCGACGTAAGCAAACATGTTATTTCATATGTACAAATGTTATTGAGTTGTGTGTTCAGCTGGATAAATAAATCACAAACATTTCAATTAATCTTTAGCAAAATTTTTGAAATTTGTTACATTTTAGTGCTTGTAAACTTAAACTTTTCGATCTCAGCTTACAGTTGAAACACGCTTGTTTACTTTAAACACTTACTTCACTGAAGTAACCAGTGCTCTATCTTACAGTTTGCGGAAGCGCTTAGGATCCGATGGAGAAAAGAGGAAAAAAATTGAAACTTTCTAACTTCGCTTCGTGAACCGCATGATGCTGAAATTTACGATCGCTTCTTCTGCGGCGGGTGGCGACGAATGCAAAACGTAATGTGCGCGCATATCAATCAAGCTTTTAGTTGAGAGTTTTTTCCCTTGGTGCGCGAGCGCGACAATTGTAATAGTCGCCGGCTTGCGCAGAGCACACGAAATTATCTCAATAAATCAGCATTAGGATCGCGTTTTTTCCTCACGCGCAAACTGAAACCGCCCGAACTACTTCGAAAGTTCGCTAGTATAATAACAACTAAATATGCATTAATACAAACATTCGGTTTGTGTTTTGTGTCAATATTTACTCAACATAGAAATGAATTTTCCTAAGCTGGCAGGCGTCGTCCGAGTGTGGCACATTTCGCAAAGTTATTGGTGCGTTTCCTACGCGTTTACTATCCGCCGATCGCACAACAAAGCTTATTATGCTTATTTATTCGTTTCGTAAGCGGCGCGTACGTGCCATTACCCCGACCGTGCCCAAGCATACGTTTTTCGCCGAGAAGGAGAGAAGGAGCCTGTGCGCATCGCGCATGCAGCGCCTTCCGCGCGGTTTGTTCAAGTGGAGGCGCCGGGCATCGAGCGGAAAGCGTCCGTCCGGCTCGGCGCCAGCCGAAGCGTTCCTAATTTGATTACAGTGGGATTTAATACGCTCACTTGGCCTCGGACTTTGCCGACGTTCACCTGTGAAATATTGTGCAGCAATACTAAAACGGGGGCGAGGCACACAACAGCTGCAGGAGGAGGACTGACTAGAGCGGAATGAAGTCGAGTCGGCGGGACGCGAGGGTTGGAAAGGTGCGCGATGGGTTCGCTCGTTCGGAATGCCGCAGTTTCTAAATGGAGTCGTCGCGCGGGTCGTTTGAATAACGCAAAAATGCTCTTCGGGTCGGTCGTGCGATCAATCAACCCGACCTGCCCGACCTGCGGGCTTTTCTTCTCGCCCGAGGGTGTGCGTACTTACCGCACGCAAGTGTAGAAAGGCGACTTGAGGTTCTAATGTCATGGTCCACGGCCAGCAATCGTCGGCTGGCTTTTTCTCTTGGGTGTGCCATTCTTATCTGCAATACTGTCGGCGTGATAGTAGCGGTTATAAATAAAATTTAT